TAGTCACTTTGGCATTTATAGTATAATTTTCACTTATCACCATCTCCCTTGAATAATAGTAAACCACTTCATATATAGGATAAGAATCTTCCATTTCTTCCCTCCCAGACATTATGTAATTGTTTCAAATTTTTGATTCTCAGGTATGTTATAAATCCCAGACCACGTTGTTGTTATTATTTTGACACTTACTGCTTTTTTTTTCTTTTCTGTTTTTTAGAAAGCAGGATTTTTATTTTATTTTATTTTATTTTTTGAGTTGGAGTCTCACTCTGTCACCCAGACTGGAGTGCAGTGGTCGCTCCCGGCCACTCAGCCTCGACCTGCTGGACTCCGGCGATCCTTCCACCTCAGCCTTCCAAGTAGCTGGAACTACAGGCGCGTGCTACCACACCCGGCTAATTTTTTTTAATTTGTTGTAGAGATGAGGTCTTGCCAAGTTTCCCAGGCGAATCTTGAACCCGCGGGCTCAGGCAATTCACTCACCTCAGCCTCCCAAAGCACGAGATTACGGGCTGAGCCACCAAGCCCGGCCGAAAGCAGGATTTATTGAGAGAACAGAAAAGCCCCAACAGTGGGAGGGGACCCGAGGGGGCTGCTCACTTACTGCTTTTTAAAAAGATTTAAATAATAAGAAAAAAAACTTATACATTTTTTTCACTTTTCCATTGTGCTTCATTCTTTTGTGCAAATCCATATTTCCACCTAATATCCTTTTGCTTCTGCATAAAGGACATTTTTACAAACATTTCTTATAGTGTAGTCTACTGTTGAAAATTTCATTTAGCTTTTGTATTTGAAAAAGTATTTATTTCATCTTTGTTTTTTAAAAATGTTTTTGTTAATACAATGACTTCTGATACTAACTAACCTAAATTAAGCCAAACTTTACAAATTAAGGGCATAGACCTCTACAAAACTGCCCTTACTTCAGACACCAGACTCAAGCTTGAGAATTCCCAGGTCACCTCTACTTCTGACCAACTGGATACAAATTCAAGATTTCTTACTACCTCCTCACGCTCAGTAATTCACTAAAATGATTCACGGTAGCCGGGCTCGGTGGCTCAGCCTGTAATCCCGCGCTTTTGGGAGGCTGAGGTGAGTGGATTGCCTGAGCCCGCGGGTTCGAGACCCGCCTGGGCAGTGAGACCTCATCTCTACAATAAATCAAAAAATCAGCCGGGCGTGGTAGCGTGCGCCTGTAATTCCGGCTACTTGGAAGGCTGAGGCGGAAGGATCACCGGAGCCCAGCAGGCGAGGCTGCGGTGGCCGGGAGCGGCCACTGCACTCCAGTCTGGGTGACCGAGTGAGACTCCAACTCAAAAAAAAAATAAAAAAATAAAAAAATAAAAAAAAAAATGATTCACGGAGCTCAGGAAAGCACTATACTTAAAGTCAAAAAAGATCAGGATCAGCCAAAAGTAGAGATGCATAGGACAAGGTCTGGGAGGGTCCCAAACACAAAGCTTTCTCTCTATGAAGCCAATTTGCATCAGCCTCTCAGTACATTGATGTGTAAGAATTCGCACAGGTAATTATTATTAACCAGGGCAGCTCACAGGAACTTTGTGTCCAGAGTGTTTAATTGGGGTTTCATTATGTAGGCATGATTGACTGACTCATTGGCCATGTGATTTAATTCAGTATTCAGCCCTCCTCCATTTCTGGGTGGTCAGGCTTATGTCAGGCTGGTATCAAGTGGCTCAAAGTCCCAGCCCCCTAATCCAGGGGTCCCCAACCCCTGGGCCATGGTCGGTACTGGTCTGTGGCCTGTTAGTAACTGGGCTGCTAAGCAGGAGGTGAATAGCAGGCAAACAAGCAAAGTTTCATCTGTGTTTGCAGCAATTCCCCATAGTTTGTTACTGCCTGAGCTCTTATCTCCTATCAGATTAGTAAGGGCATTAGATTCTTATAGGAGCACAAAGCCTATTATGAACAGCACATACAAAGGATCTAGGTTGCCCGCTCCTTATGATAATTTAATGCCTGCTGTCCGTCGTCATCGTCGTGTCCGTGTCGTCCCGTCCCCGTGTTTCCCCCCTCCCCGTCTCTGTAAAAATTGTCTTCCAAGAAACTGGTCCCTGATTCCAAAAAGATTAGGGACTGCTATGCTACCACATGATTAGTCTTTCTGGCATGGCAAGCCCCCATCCTAAGTCATCTCATTAGCATAAAATATCAGGACTGACCATGCATAACAAAAGCACTCCTATCATTTGGGAAATTCCAAGGATTTAGAGGCTCTATCCCAGGAACTGGGGACAAAGACTAGTCAAATTATTTACTGTACAACAGCTGAGTATAGAATTTTAGGTTGGCAGGGTTTTTCTTTTATAATTTAAAGATGTTGCTCCACTCATCTCTTGCTTTGTTGCCAATGGGAAATCTGCTGTAATACTTGTTTTTGTTTCTCTATATAACATATCTTCTTTTCCAGTCTATCTACTTCTAGACACTTTTACAGTTTTTCTCTTTATTGTGAATTTTGAGCAATTTGATTATGATGTACTTTAGTGTAGTTCCCTTTCTCTTTCTCCTGCTTGGGGTTCTTGGAGATTCTTAGATATGTGGGTATATAATTTATATCAAATTTGTAAAATTGTCAACCATTTCTTCATTTTTTTTTCTGTATCCCCTACTTGAAGTTGTCCTATAGCTAAATGGTGCTGTTTGTTGAGTTTTTTTGCCACAGTTTTTTTTCTTTGAATGTTAGTTATTTCTGACATATGTGTGTTTTATGTATCCCTAACTTTACTGTGAGCACCTGGAAGGTTTCTTTGTACCTCTCTGTATTTTATTCCATAACCAGCACCAGGCATGGTTCTTGGAATACTAGTCATTGTTTATATACTACATATGTCCAGGCCGGGCTCGGTGGCTCAGTCTGTAATCCCAGCACTTTGGGAGGCCAAGGCGAGTGGATTGCCTGAACCCGTGGGTTCGAGACCCGCCTGGGCAACTTGGTGAGACCTCATCTTTACAATAAATCAAAAAATTAGCCAGTAGCGCGTGCCTATAGTTCCAGCTACTTGGAAGGCTGAGACGGCAGGATCGCCGGACCCCAGCAGGTTGAGGCTGCGGTAGCCGGGAGCGTGCCTCTGCACTCCAGTCTGGGCGACAGAGTGAGACTTCAACTCAAAAAAAAAAAAATACACATGTCCAGGGATCTCCCTGAGGCATTAACTGGGCAGTTTTGGGAATCACCAAAGGGCATCTAGTGTTACATGTCAAGGATCAAACTGTGGGTACTTGTTAATCTTTGAGAACCGAACTATGGGAACTTTTCTGTCCTCTCAATAAATCTTGCTTTCTCAAAAAAGAAAAAAAAATCAAATAATTAGCTAGGTGTGGTAGAGCCCACCTGTAGTTCCAGCTACTTGGAAGGCTGAGGTGGAAGGATTGCTAGAGCCTAGCAGGTCGACACTGGGGTGTCCATGAGCATGCCACTGCACTCCAGCCTACTCAAGATCACTTCTCTTTTTTTTTGGAGTCAGTCTCACTCAGTAGTGCAATGATCTGATCACAGCTCACCGCAACCTCAACCTCCCAAGTAGCTGGGTCTACAGGTATGTGCTACCATGCCTGGCTGATTTTTTTTTTTTTTTGTAGAGACGAGGTCTTGCTGTGTTGCCTAGACTGGTCTCAAACTCCTGAACTCAATCAATTCTCCTACCTCAGCTTCCCAAAGTGCTGGGATTACATGTGTGAACCACTGCACCCAGCCAAGATCACTTCTCTTGCATCCTGCTGGCCTGTGCTAGCCAGGAGATGGGGATAAATCATAAGAGATAGCCCTAATACAGAGCCTGGAAAAGATACAGGTGATGCTAGGTTGAGAGCAGATCCACTGGATAAGGTTGTACATTGTGTGCATCTGAGGGCTAGAGGAAGCTGAAAATGCCTCTTCCTAATTAGTTCAACCAAAGAGAATGTCTTTATATAATTGCTACAGAGATGCTGATTGGGATAGTGGGGAACTGATTGAGGTAGGGGGCTGCTGGTTCTTGCTAGATCAGGCCCTGCTAGATGGAGATAATGGGAAACAATAGGACAGCTTTGTGGTACCTTAGGACATCCATGCTGAATGTAGGAAGCAAACTGCCCAAGAGAAAACCAGAGCATGTTGAATTACCAGGCCCTTGAGTAGCTTCAATTCCTCGTAGCCAGTGTGGTTCACAGAGGTGAATACAGAAGTGGGGAGGTAGGTAGGGGTTGGGGGTGGAATCTCAGCACATCATGGAATATGGTGCTTACTTTGACATGGGATTTTGGGTAGAGACACATTAACAACTTCTGCCAACTAGGGACTCGTATGTACTAGCCCCCAGCTAGAGATGGATCAGAGAAATATGGCAGGCCTAGATTCAAAAACTGTTCATGGCTAGTAACAAGGTAAACAAGTTTTGTTCAAAGTTTCTAAGCTTTAAGCTAGCAGGTTATAGGGGACACATGAAAACTAATAAGAGATGGCAGTAATTCCTACACTTGAGGAAGTTGGGTATGCTTTGCAGACTTGGTAGCCTTGATTATGGGCTATTTTTAGGAAACTTGCTATCCTAAGTCCTTGCCTGAGAACCTCTGTTTCCCCTTAAAGCACATATTTTCGTGATTTAGCCCTTGGATGCAGTGTGGAGATATATGTGCAAGAAACTTTTGAACTGGGAGTCCTGTTGCCCTTTGAGAAATGCTTGAGCATTTGTCTATACCAGTTGCATTGAATGAACTCTTTAAGCTTTTGGAAATTTGTGTCAATTTGACAAGACAGATTGGAGCCTGAGATGTTCCTAGCAGGGCATAGGCAAATTGCTGCTAGATCTAGAATGAATGTCTGAGACAACTTGGAAACCAGGGAGAAAACCCACTGATGGGTGGGCCTGAGAAAATAACTATATAGGCTAATTGCCAATGCTTGGGGAAGATTTCTTGCCTGAAGGTCATGTTAGCCTTCCTCCGAAGCAGATCTCACAGAGAGTTTCTTTTCCTTTCCCCATCCACAGGTAACAGTCCTTTGGACAGCCCCCGGAATTTCTCTCCAAATGCACCTGCTCATTTTTCCTTTGTTCCCGCCCGTAGGTAAGTTGATAGAAAACCTCTGTGATCAACACTTGTGGCACTTGGATGAGTGGTAGTTGAATGTCACATTCCTTTTTAGAGTATTACTGCTATTTCAAGTGTGTTACCTTGGGCTACCAACCATCAAAACTCCTTTGCTTTTCTCTCTCTTGTAATCATCTTGTCCAAGTTTTTCTTTCTAGGTGCCTTGTGCTTTGTGTTTGAATGGGGGAGTAGATGTCAGAAATAGATCTATTTTTATAGCCCTAAGCCCAAACCCCTTCTGTCTTGAGGGTATGTTTCAAAGCATTATACTCTCAGTTGAGAGCTATGCTAAGGTGATCCATGAGAAAATGAGGACCCAAAGTGATACTTACTCAGCTAGTTCCAAGGAGGAACTGGAAGGGCCTTCCTCTCTCCTTGGCTTTGAGTTGGGGTTCATGTGGGAGAATAAAGAGATTACAGGGACTTCACTTATCCTTTTATGAATTTAGAAGGATTTGGTGTGTACTTAGGCCTGCTCATATTCCCCCTCCAGTGTCTCTCTGAGAGTAATAGAAACCTGTCTGTGGCCTATGGTAGCAACCCTGACTGTTCTACCCATTTTTGGAGTATCACCTGGCCTCTAGAGAAGTCTGAACTGAATGAGATGAATCCATCCACCACATACCAAGGCTCCATACACAAATTATTTCTTTTCAGAACTTTTCTAATGTTCAGAACTTTTCTATTTGTTAGCAGAGTTCATTTTTTAATTTTAAAATTTACTGTGGTTAGATTTAGTCTCTGGTGCTAGGACCTATGGAAAAATTATGACTGCAGATTTGGAACTTTAATGGATAGAGAATGTAATATACCTTGAGGCCAGAATAATTTTAATTCTTAGATTACTTTTCTAAAAAGACAATAGAAAAAGAACAGACTCCTAGAAACAGCATTAATTCAGTATTCAAAGGACAACCCAGAAGAAACCCATCCCCTTCTTCCCCAGGATTCTTTGTAGCTAAAAAAAAAAAAACCAAACAAAAACAAGCATGAACAGGTTGGTAGAAGTTTGATGACTGACTCAAGTCCCCCTCCTGACTCAGTTGCCTTATTCAGAACAAATTTTGTTCAGGTTTGTTCCAGGAGTTCATCTCTCCTACCCTGTGTAACTTCCAATTAGTTAAATAAGGATCCAGGTAGGATCACTTACAGTATAAGAATCTGCTGGATTGACGCTTTTGTTTTTCCAACCCAGCTGGAGAGACTTATCCCAGACTTCTTGCCTGGTCTGTGTATGAACTATATAGCCTCAGAATAGGTATGAGCTAATACAACAGGACCTGTGTCCACATCCCCATGGGTGGCATTGATTCATTTCTCATTTATTTGATAAATGTTTACCGTGTACCAACTAGAGCCAGGCACTCTGCTAAGTGCTTAGATATGTAGTAAAAACAAAAGACATAGTTCCTACTACTCTTGAAACTTAGGATCAGGAAAAAAAAAAAGAAACTTAGGATCTAGTAAAGTGTGTACTGGTTATTGTAGGGAGTGCTGTTCCCTCAGATCTTCATTTAGTTGACTCATTCTTTTCATCCATGTCTCATCTTAAATGTCACCTCCTCAGAGAGGGCTTTCCTAAACTGTCTAAAATCTTGCATTCGTCATCAAATCATCCAGTTTTATTTTCAGACTAGTACTTTTCAGTACGTAATGTTTTCTTATTTGCATGTTTCCTGTCTCACCTCAACCAAATCAAATCACCTTAACAGACATGCCTTAGTTTTGTTGAAAGCTATGTCTTCTGGTGGAGAGACAAATGAGTGGGAGACAGATGATAAATGAACAGATAATAAATGAACAGGGGAGACAGATAATAAATGAACAAGCAAACAAACAAGTATATGGCTATAAACTATGACAAGCACCATGAAGGGAAAGAACATGATGCTGCATAAAAGAACAAGAAGGGAATAGAGCTCAAGACTCTCCACTGGGTGGTCATGCAGAGTCTCGCTGAAGGATGAGATGCAGCTGCCACGTTGGGTATGGTTGGGTGTGAGGACCCAGGTGTGTGTAGACCATTGCAGGCAATGGAAATAGGCAAATTGCTGCTATTGATGTCCCCATTTCTGCTTCATTCCCTGAGCTTCAAGAATATAACCAACTAGGAAGCTTTGGGGCTTAGTATTACCACTGAAATCCAATCAGGTCTGTGCTAGGTGGCATGGCATTTGAGTCATGTACATGGAATGTGGATCTCTGGACTGCCTTATTACAGAACATAGTAGGAAAAGCTGCTAGTTATTGGTAGGGATGAGGGAGGAGTGTTTCAACCCTACCAAATAGGTCATCAGGAATTGTTTGTTCCTCGATTACTGAGGTCAGGCTGGAGCCTTACAGGATTATTTCAGTTTATAGTTTATAGTATCACACAAAAGACAGATTGAATGAAACACTTAGGCCAATCAGTCCTACAGTTTTACTTGAAATTACCACACATTCCTAAGTAGGTTTGTCTATGCTAAGCCAGACTAAATGCCAGGGGTCAAAAGGATCACTCTCTCTGGTTCCCTTTGGTTCTCACTGTAATGTATGTTTTTTTACTACAGCCATGGCCACAGAGCAGACAGGTAATAGCGGGTATGATGGGGAGAGGGACTGGGAAGCTGCTATGCATGGCCAGACAGTATGGTTTGTGATTTTGTGGTTAGTGAGAACTGATTGTGATGATTCTTCTCTGATTGTGGGCATAAACATTGGGCTTTTCTATCTAGCAAAGAGGCCCAAAGGGATCCCCCCCCTCTATCTGCTGGAACCGAGGCTCAGAACTCATATGCTTGAAGACAGAAATTGCTGAATAATTCCAAGCTTCTGAGCTTAGGGACAAGTCACTCTCATTCCCATAACTTTCCCTAGTCACCCAGGTGACTGATGTGACCAGATAGAGGAAAGAGGAGCATCATATGATGGCATTTCTTATGACCCTGATGGCTTCTGCTCTTATTATACAGAGAAATAGCTGGCTGCCATGCAACTGATTTTCATTTCTGTCTAAAGGAGGAAAAAGTCACATGTGAAAAAATGTGTTTGTAAGGACTTGGGAAGCCCGTCCCTGAGTTATACTTGTCTCATCTTTGCTGAGCTGTTTTCCTGGAACTGACTTGCTTTATGTTAAAGCTCCCAGGACCCAGCAAAGAGGTTAGAGAGAACATCGTGTCCGAGCACCCTACTGGACATTTTTTTGCCTCAGAGACTGGGTTCCAGCAGTTATAGTTACATGTGCTGCTTCCTTGGTGGCGTGAAGTTTGAGTCATTTGCATGTGGCATGCAACCCTGGGCTCTCCCCTTACAGAACAGAGTAGACAAGCTGCTAGGTATTGGTGACGGTAGGAAGAAATGCTTTAAAAGAAGACACCCTAGCAAGATTTATTCCTCTTGTTGCCTCTTTTTCTCCCCACCCCTGCCATAACAGTGAGACTATTATACACAAATCACCCAGATCTCTGGATCTTAGTGTTTTCTCTGTAAGCTGTAATATGCATTTGTAAAGATCCTCCATTGCTGATGTTATAGGTTCTATAATAGCAAAGAAGTGTTTATCCAGCTTCAACCAGAGCAGTCTCTACAAGAAGAATATTTGACACCACATCCCACGGTCCAGGCAAAGAATCACATGTTCACACCATACTTTTCAAATCAGATACCTGCTTGATCTTTCTTATCTATAGTACAAGTAGTCGTGGTTTTTTGTGATGCTTTGGATCATCCTTTTGAGAGCAGCAGGAAGCCTCCCCCAAAGTCTCATATACAGCCAAGGTTATGTCATCTCCCTCCTCTTTCATAAGGTTACTGTCACTCTTTGGCAGGCATTCTCAGGGACTGGTTTTATGGTTCTTAATAGATTCTAGACAGCCTATAACTATTTTCCATTGATTGATGTTCAGTTCAGATGGTGGTCTATTTCCTAGTTTTCAACCCAGTGCCCTAGGGAAAACCAAAAACCCCTTCATATGGAGCTTTCAAAAAAAGGAAATAGCTGCATTTCATCTGGAGTTCTCTGTCACTGTTTCTCTGAAAGTGAATAAGTTGAGAATATAAAAATATTTATTTCAAAACCACAGTATTGTATAACAGATGTTCTTATTCAAAGTCATGGACTCTTTTATAGTCTAAAATGTCTGTCTTTGCAGTGAGAACACACAACAATAGGCCCCATGTAGGAAAGAGACATAAAAGTATACTGGACCAAGTAGTATGATCTTAAGTAAAGGCGGGGCCCACCAGTGCATCAGCTACCCCCAAAATGCTGACAGGCAGGCATCTTCTGGGCTCAGGGTGGGAGTCCTATAGAAACTGCCTAATTTTTATTTATGTAGGACTGATGGACGACGCTGGTCTTTGGCCTCTTTGCCTTCTTCAGGCTATGGAACCAATACTCCTAGCTCTACTGTCTCAGTAAGTAGCCAAATCTATGTTCGTACCTCCTTTGCTCTGATGAAGTACTTCCCTACGGGTTACTTAGTATTGTAAAATGGTTCTCAACTTTTCCTCCAAAGCCAAACTCAAAGAGGTTGTTTGGGGATGATGCTGAGTAGGCCAGGTGAACCTGCGCAGCCATAACTAGATTAATAAATGGGTAAACCAGTGCCCTTTCCCAGTGGAGACAGAGGGGGGCTTGAGAATGAATATTTACTGCCAGTGAGGCCCAACATGGGGACTCCTGAAAGCACTCTTTCCATACTCCCCCTAACCTTATTTCTAGAACTGCAACCAAGAGCAGATCACCTCTTCCATGTCCCAAAGACTTGGTAGACTCCCCCCTTTTTCTTTACCTTTTCCTTTGGAAAAAAAAAAGGGGGGCGAGTAATTGTTACTTGATATACAGATTTGATGTGAATCAGTGGAAGGCTGGACTTGGCTCTAAAACATTTACTTATATTTTTTTCACATAAGATTGTAGCCTAAAGCACAACAGATATGCCAGTTGCTACTATGCACAATTGACCCTAAAATAAGTCCTCCTCATTGAGAAACTTTTTATAAAAGCCAGAATGAGAGAGTTGGCAACCTTTTTCCATAAAGAGCCAGATACATAGCAAATGTTTTAAGCTCTGCAAACCATACAGAAACAGGCCATAGACCTGGTGGTCCCATCCTCATTTCTTTTAGCATTCTTCAAGTCTTCTCTGCTCAGTGTGTCTTTGTTCATGAATCCTAAGCAGGGAAAAGGAGTATCATTTCCTTTCTCGACCTGGATATTACTCTTAAATTAATCCGAGATTTCCCTGATCTTTGGCGACTACTAAGCTTAAGATCTTACCCTAGTAAAACACTCCTTTTTCCATAATCCTTTACTCAAAACAAGTGATTTTATTTTAGACTTTAAAATACCAGTTTTGCCCACCATAATTTACATTGCCCTACCAGTTTCATGTTAACTGTAGTTGGTAAGGATACTTTTTGCCGCTTCAATCAAAATCATTTATAAAAATGTAGCCAAGACAGAACCCAGTGGAGACCTTCCACAAACTGTTTACAACTTCACATATTAAAGGATTCCATGAGGAAAAAAGTGCACTATTAGCCCCCCCCCAAAAAAATGCTGACTTCTCACTTAGTATTGATCCTGTGACAACTGAATTATTTCACTGTGGTGCTTCAGCTTTGACTCGAAATAGATTTAAATATTTAAACCCAAGATCACATTGATCAATTGGTAAATAGAAACTGGGCTGACAGTGTTCAGCTTGCCTGCTCTCTTTGCCAGTATTGTAAGGTAGAGGGGGAATTCCCTGATCCTGGGGCAGGATGGATCTCCTTAGGAATACCTGCATCTGTGGGAGTCCTGTGGTGGCACTAGCGCACTCCCTCAGGTGGCCTGTTGTGATTGGCAGTGGGCTCTCGTCAAGAATCCTGTCATTGAGCCATGTTTAGAATTCATTAGTGTTTTCAGGTCCTATCTAATCTTCAGGTCTAGATCTAAAAGTAATTTTCTTCCCTACTGGTGTCCCTGGATTCTGGGCATAGGCTATACATCCTCTACAAAGACAGTCTCCTCTGAATAGTAGCCAAAAGGAAACATTGCTGAGGCCATTCCTGGGGTGGATCTCTCAGGGTTGTGGAAGGGAAAACTTAGGGGGTGTCATTTGTAGTAGCTGGGCATACCTAAAACATGTTCCAAGCCTGGAAGAAGGATTTTTTTAATTTTAACTTTTTTTCTTTTTTTGAGACAGTCTTGTTGCCCAGGCTGGAGCAAAGTGGCACTTGAACTCCTGGGCTCAAGCGATCCCCCTGCCTCAGCCTCTCAAATCACTGGGACTATAGTCATGAGTTACTGTGCTTGGCAAAGCATGATTTATTAATTATTTACTATTCCAACTAGCTAAAAGTTTCATTGAAGGCAAAGGGTTCATGCAGAAGAATCTACTTTTTATCACCTAAAGAAGCTTCTAGGTAGTTACAGAGTTCTCACATCCCATAAAGGTCTGGGTCCAACTTTCTGCCCAACTCTTAAAGGACTCTAGTGTTTTGGCTTCCTCAGGACTAAGGTCTCTAAAGGCTAGAGATGAAAAGGATAACGCACAGTCAAGACTAAGGGGAGCAGGGGAAAGAAGACCTGTTTTGGGTTTATTTAGGGTTTACTTTGGGAAGTCCTTGACAATTTTTATTCCTCCTCCATTCCTGGACTGCTCTCGGACATGTCTTTAATGCTGTTCTTAATATTTTCCCCTCTAGTCATCATGCTCCTCACAGGAGAAGCTGCATCAGTTGCCTTTCCAGCCTACAGCTGATGAGCTGCACTTTTTGACGAAGCATTTCAGCACAGAGAGTGTACCAGATGAGGAAGGACGGCGGTCCCCAGCCATGCGGCCCCGCTCCCGCAGCCTCAGGTAAGGAGTGCTCACTGCCTGCTATCCCAGTACCTGTAGATCTCAGCTTGTTTGTGTAGCACAAGGGCTGGCGGACTTATTCTATAAAAGGCAAGACTGAATATTTTAGTCTTTGTAGGCCATACATCTCTGTCACACTATTCAACGCTGCTATTGTAGTATGAAAGCATCCATAGGTAATACATAAATTTTATTTACAAAAAAAATAGCAGACCACATTTAGCCTACAGGCTGTAGTTTGCCAACCCCTGGCATAGCACATCAGCTAGCTTGTATGAGTCAAGTCTAGCCAAGCTCAAGTCCTTTTTGGCTTCAGGTACAGCCCATCCCATCATCCCAGGAGATATTTAATAATGCTATCAAGTAGTCCTTCTCTTTTTTCCTTCGAAAGGATTTAGCAGCATAAATATACTTTAGACTCCATTCATTAAAAGGTAGTAGTGGTATCATAAATTCTGATCGTAATTTGGCTACAGAACCCATAGGCCCAGGGTGCATGACTTAGGTCAGCTAAAAAAGTTGCTACTGATCAGCCAGGCTTGGTGGCTCAGCCTGTAATCCCAGCAATTTGGGAGGCCAAGGTGAGTGGGTTTGAGACCAGCCTGGTTAACTTGGTGAGACCTCATCTCTACAAAAAATACAAAAAATTAGCCGGGCGTGGTAGCGTGCGCCTGTAGTTCTGGCTACTTGGAAGGCTGAGGCAGAAGGATCACTGGAGCCCAGCAGGTCTATCCTGGGCTGGCCATGAGTGTGCCACTGCACCAGCCTGGGTGACAAGTGAGACTCCAACTCAAAAAAAAAAAGTTGCTGTTAAGGTGACTAACTTGGGGAAGAACCCCGCTTCAACAGTATGATTAAATGCTCATCTGAATCTGTCTTTAGCCCCTGAATCACCTGGGCCCATCTTCATCAAATCAAGCAAACTATAACAGCTGATTTATCTGTGAATTCCCTAGGTTAATTTTCCATTCTCTTTGGTATTAGCTGATAAATCTGTGCCAAAATTCCAGGCTAAGGAAGATGATGGATATTAAAATGAATGTGACTTTAATGACTGAGCTCAGCTTTTCAGGGTACCTAGGAGGTAATGAATTAGCATTAGTTCAGGATGGGATCCCAAAGGAGCAATGCCTCCCAGGAAGAATCCCTTCAGGTAATGTGAGTACTGTGAGTAATAGGGAGTAAGCTGGGCCAAACCTCAAAGACTGGTTCAGGTCCAGAGATCAATGAAGATGGTGGCTGGGACTTCAGTGCAAAGGATCCAGAATACAAATGAGTGGATATGCATCCCCAGTGCCTATCTTTGTCTCTCAGAGTTTTGGTGGTCTCAGAAACCCACACACAGTAAAGGGAACCTTTTAGGTCAGCTGGAATTGAGAGGACCACATTGATGCTCAGAGAAATCCCTGTATATTACTCTTAAATCCTTAATACTGTGCGTCAATAGAGCAGGTAAAACATGGCACAATTCAGGTAAGATAGTTCTGAACCTAGCTTAACCCAGCTGGGATTACATGTCATGGCACTAAACTGGGCCGGACCCAAATATCCAGTTAACTATGTGACTCAAATTTTGAAATCCCTTAAGGAGATTTAACTACACATGGGCCAGAGGGGAAGATTTAGACTCTTAGGGAAGATAATAAAGCAGAAAACATATTGGCTCACTTCAATAAATGACCCTGACTCACAACAGGCTAGATTGGCCTATTCATCCCCCAGGTCAAAACCCACATTCATCTCACTGGCTGCAGCCAGTTTGGAAAAAAATATATAGGTGTGCAAAGTCTTCTTTGGTTGCTTTGGTAGTTGTTTGATTTTCTTTGTTTCTGAGAACATTCTGAGGTATACCCAATCCCACTGGCCAAAACTTAGAGGACACAGAGAATCCTGTGTCATCCTAGGAAAACCCCCAATGGGCTTAGAAGTAGGCTCTTCCTTTCTAGGCCTTTCCAGGCCCTGGCAAAGGTATTTGTGAAAGCCAAGCTTCTTGCAGGAAGATAGTCCAGCTCCAGATGGTACCATTTTGAGCTGAACAAGGTGCACTGGAAGCTCCAGAAATAGGAAAGGCACTCAGCACTCATTAAGGTGGGAGTATGTAGGGCACTGAAGACAGTAGGAGGTGCAAGGGCTCTGGAGCTGGCCATCTTTCTCTTTGATAGTTCCTTTGCACTAAAGTAACATGAATGTTCCTTCTTTTTTAGTCCTGGACGATCCCCCGTTTCCTTTGACAGTGAAATTATAATGATGAATCATGTGTACAAAGAAAGATTTCCTAAGGTAAGAATCCATTAAACAAGAGATAGTTATGCCCCCAAGGATAGCTCCCTACAGCAGTCCTCAATGGGAAGGCTTTGGAGTAAGGGAATGACATGCTACCTACAGAGGTAACCAAGAAGAAAGTCACACAGGAAGAGGAGGATACAAGCCACAAGGACCTCAAGACTGTTTGAGAAGAAGGAGGCAGCAGGAAACTATGAGTCTGGGGACTGTTTGAAGAACTTTTCCTCTCCCACTCCCCAGGAAGAGCTATGTCAAGGGGGATGTCAGAAAAGTATCCCACCATTCACTAAAGGGGAAAGAAAGAACTGGGGACTTGATTTCTCACCATGCACATGAGGATCCACAAGTCAGGTTCATGTATTATAGGATTTGCCCTCTGGCAGCACCTTCATTTGCTAGAGATTTCTTAAGCAGCATTTTGTTACCCAGCACCAAAGAGGGCATAGACAAAAGTATGCTGCACTGACAAAAAGAAGGCCAGAGAAAGCAAGTAAGGAGGGAAGACAGAGCTGAGTTGGATTTGCGTTTTCAAACAGGAAAATGCTGAGGAAGGAAGGTATATTGCTATCCTGAGAGAGCTGAGAAATAGTAATTCACACCTCTGCAGTTTGACTATGAACCTCCTTGTATGTGGAATTAGACCTTGTTTTCCATTTGCATTTCTTTTTGAACACCACATGCTTGTACGCTCTGACCTGGCCTTCTGAAGATAGGCCCTGTTTCTGCAGAACTCAGCCAGCTTTACCTGAGAGGACAGTGGACTACTATGCCTGACAACAGAGAACATGAAGTGCTCAAGCCTTTCTTCATCCATCCACACCTCCCTGGGTCTGTCTGTTTATCCTTGTCTGGGGTGTGCAGTGAATGGTGCTCCTCTGAGAGTCTCTAGACTTTAGACGATCTCTTGGACACACATGGTGGTTTAGGGAGATGGTGTAAAGTTCTTGAGCTTTTCCCTCTTGCTTTACACAGTGAAGCATAGTAATGAGGAAGAGTACAGATTCTGGACCCAGACTGACTGACTTTTAATCTGACTCTACTGTTTACTCCTGGAAAGATTATTTAATTTCTCTGAGTTTCATTTGCCTCAACTATAATTTGTAATAATAAAAGCTTCCATCTCATAGGGGTTTTGTGGACATTAAGCTCTTTTGACAGTGCCCAGGACATAATAAGCACTCAGTAAGTGTTAGCTGTTAATTCTCTGCTAAACCTGTGTCCTGTGGTCTATGCTTTCTAGCCTTGGTGTGGGACTAAAGAATAAGAACAAGGAAGAGGGCAGAACAAACAGCAAGGAAATCACTTTGTTGTACTTGGTCCTTTATAGTGAAATTTCAGAGTAGATAGCATTGAGAAATGTATCTCACGTGTTTCTCCTCCTCATGTGTTAGGTGTTATCATTCTAGCATTGTGTTTTGCATGTCTCTAAGTCCTTCCTGTGAGATAAACTATTGTTAGAGAAAATGTTTTAAGATTCCTTCTCTTCCGTCTCTCCCCTGTTCCCACTCTTTCTCTCTCTTCCTCTTACCCTCCACACACATACGCACACCCCACATGTATGTGAAGTACACATACATTTTCCTAAACACATACGGGAAATCAGAAATCATCACCTGGTAGCAAAGGAAAGAAGGCGGAGTCCTACATAGGCAGCTAGGAACTTGTTCATGGATGTGTATTTGTCATTTTGACATGACTGTGTGCTTAGGTCCCCAAGAAGCTTCTGAGCCAGATCTTCATTCTGCTCTGCTGGGGATCCAGGCCAGGGTCATGTTCTTATTCACAAGCCCTCTTCCCAACTTGACATCTGTGACCAGGCAGGTTCACATCTTCAGTAAACACTCTTTGAGCACCTGCTTAGGCCCCTTGGGACTAAGGTTAAGGAAGAAGATCTTGAGATAAATAAAGCTCTCTCTCTGACTTGAAAAGCATCCCAATCCAGAGAAAGATTTAGAAATTAGCAATATCCATACACTAAGTTTACACAGTTGGGAGGCTCTAGTGGAAGCGGAAGGAATGGAAACCCTATTTTGCCTGGGGGAATGAAAGACTCCCCCAAGGAGGGATGATGCTTGAAGTGAGATTAAAAGGATAATTAGGAGTTTACCAGGATGTTTGGCAGAGTGAAAAAGTCACACATAGGGAACAGCATAAACAACTGAGGCAGGAACCAATACAGTAAAGAAGGAAAACAGCAAACACTTCTATGTCCTTAGAACAAAAGGACTTTCCCTGCAGGGAGTTACAGGAGATGGGCAAAACCAGGTGTTAGAGGGCCTCAAATGGAATACTGAGGCTTCTTGACTTGACTTGAAGATGATCTTTTCGTGTCTCCAGTTACCAGGTTTCCCAAATGCAACATCAGGAAACCAGGATTACAGGGAGCCTATCCTTATGCTGTTACCAGGTCCTTCAGACTTAACTCCAACTGAGATGGGACTAAAAGGGAAGTGTTTCTTTTCTTGCCTTTATTCCCAGGCCACTGCACAAATGGAAGAACGACTAGCAGAGTTCATTTCCTCCAACACTCCAGACAGTGTGCTGCCCTTGGCAGACGGAGCCCTGAGCTTTATTCATCATCAGGTGATTGAGATGGCCCGAGACTGCCTGGATAAATCTCGGAGTGGCCTCATTACATCACATTACTTCTATGAACTTCAAGAGAATTTGGAGAAACTTCTGCAAGATGTGAGTGTCTTTGTGTGTCTTTGTGCTGAGGCTCTGTTCAAACCTCCACATGGTATTGGATTATTAGTCCCAAGCTAAGAGCAGGGTGTTAGTGGTATTCTCAGCCAGCCTTCTTGTCATCTACCCCCAAGTATGGTGCTGATGCACTTAGATTCATGGTTGGTATCAGAGGAACTCAGTTCAGTGGGTACTTCCTTTTCCAAATCAAGAGCTGTATTACTCTGCTTGAAGTTCCAACATTGGTAGTATTTATAAGTATTTAACTAGGGGATTTGTTACTCAAAGCCAAAAAGTGGCCCTAGTGGCTGTGATAGGCTCTATCCTACTGGAAATATTGGTTTAAGCAGAGCCTTCAGACTTCCTCAGCCAAGGGAAAACAGGTTGAAAGCTTGTACTATGGGTTTATCCATTTGCCAGTGCTCCATTTGCATGGTCAGAATTTCTCTAGTTATGACTTACATGTTTAGAGACCTGATCCTCCCCAGTGTGCAAAATCTCTTAGAGGCTAATCCAGATATGACCAAAGCGAAAGCACACAAGAACTCTTAACCACTGTTTCATGCTCCAGTGCTTATTTTGCTATTGGCCTCTCAAATAATGTGGCCAGATGTCTTCCCACTTAGATCACAACTGCCCCATATTGTACCACCAGTACAGTTTGGGGGAAAGGGGCATGCCTATCTCCCCAGAGTTCTTAATATCACCAGAGAATTTCCCAGTACAAAACCCCTTCTTACCTCCAGGCCCAGGACCTCTCTCTGGAGTATTACCAACTAATCTAGAGCCCAAGGCTAATGATCAAACAGAACTTCATCATGTTAGTCTAGAAATCAGAGGAGCAGGGTGTTTGAAAAAAATTGAGGAATAGTCAAATCTAGAGATAGAATGATTAAAGATAGTTATGATTATTGTTATCAAGTAATGGAGTATTCCTCATATATAAAAGAAAGCAGATTATGCCCTCTACCCCTAAAAGATATAACTGACTCAGTAGGCAGGAGTTACAGTGAAAAAGGTTTTGATTAATTAGGTAAAAAAGTGCTTCCTGGCCGGACTCAGTGACTCAGCCTGTAATCCCAGCACTTTGGGAGGCTGAGGCGAGTGGATTACCTGAGCCCAGACCGCCCTGGGCAACTTGGTGAGACCTCGTCTCTACAATAAAAAACAAGAAATTAGCCGGGCATGGTAGTGCACGCTTATAGTTCCAACCACTTGAAAGACTGAGGCGGAAGGATCGGGGGAACCTAACAGGTCGACGCTGGGGTGGCAGTGAGTGTGCCACTACACTCCAGCCTGGGCGACAGAGTGAGACTCCAACTCAAAAAAAAAGTGCTTCCTTCTATAAAAGTGTCCTTTTGATTTCATGGCAACTCCCTTGGGTCCCCTCCTACTGTAAGAGCTTTTCTGTCCTCTCAATAAATCCTGCTTTCTTTAAAAACAAAACAAAACAAAAAAAAGTGTCTTTCTGATTTCAAAAGAAATACATTCAAACATTGTAGAAGTTTGTTTCTGTTCAAGAATAACCTTCTAGCCAGGCTCAGTGGCTCAGCCTGTAATCCCGCGCCTTGGGAGGCTGAGGTGAGTGGATTGCCTGAGCCCACGGGTTCGAGACCCGCCCGGGCAACTTGGCGAGACCGCATCTCTACAATAAATCAAAATGAGCCGGGCATGGTAGCACGTGCCTGTAGTTCCAGCTACTTGGAAGTCTGAGGCAGAAGGATCGCCGGACCCCAGCAGGTCGAGGCTGCGGTGGCCAGGAGCGGCCACTGCACTCCAATCTGTGCGACAGAGTGAGACTCCAACTCAAAAAAAAAAGGAATCAGAGATTGCTACATCAGGTAGAAGATTAATGTAGAGTAACTTCCAAAGTTTTGTGTATGTCTGAGATTGATCTTTTTCTAAAACACTAAAATCAAAGCCTTGCTTTTTTCTTAGAATGATTGCCTCTGAGGGTAGGTTGTTTGGTACAGTAGGAAGAGCACTGAATTTGGAGCCAATTTGTTCTTCTGTGACCTATTTGCTAAGGCCCTCGAAATACAGAAAAGAACTCAATGCAGGCTCTGTTGCAGGAAATTTGCCATTGACAGGGTTACAGACCCATCAACACATACTCAACAGTAAAAATAATCGCTGCCTCTTAGTGACATGTACTGTATGTCAGACACTACACTGAATACTTTATATGAATTCTCTTGCTTCCATGTATTGCGGAACAATGTGATTGATGAGCACTGAAGAGAGGTAGGTTCTGAGCGCAGAGGTGAATGTGCCGACTGTGCGTAGAAAACTTAGGGAAGGTTGAGTCTTCCCTGACAATAGGTAGGAGTTCACTAAAGCTAGGAAACAGTATAAACAACTTCTCAGAGGTGTACAGAAACTTGTTGCATTCCAGAAATTACACAGAGTAATTTGGCATGACTAGAGTAAAAAATGCCTACAAGGAAACGTTGGTAGATGAATTTGAAGATTTAGACTGGGAGCCCAATGGCGAAGGGTCTTGTGATAGGTTTAGAATTTATTATGAAGGCAATGGGGTATATCATTCAATGGTGTTACATTGAAAAATGACATATCAGGTTTGCATTTGGAATAATAAAAATCAGTAACATGTATGGAGCACTTAATACATGCTAGTTTCTACATTGTCTCATTTGATTTAGTCTTCACAACCCTATAAGAAAGGTACCTATTATTATTTCCTAAATTTATAGATGAGGAAACTGAAGCTTAAAAGAGCTAAGTAGCCTAAGGGGTAACTCATTTCTTTTTTTCTTTTTTTGAGTTGGAGTCTCATTCTATCACCCAGGCTGGTGTGCAGTTGCACATTCCCAGGCACCGCAACCTCGACCTGCTGGGCTCAGGAAGTCCTGAAACTACAGACATGCACCACCACACCCAGCTAATTTTTTGATTTATTGTACAGATGAAGTCTCGCCACATTGCCCGGGCTGGTCTTGAACCCATGAACTCAGGCAAACCTCTCACCTTGGCCTCCCAAAGTGTTGGGATTACAGATTTGAGGTCACTCCACCCAGCGGTAACTCATTTCTTAAGTAGCAAAACTAGAACTTAAACCCAGGTTTGTTTTATTCCAGAGCCTAAAATACATTTTAAAGCACTGTGTCAACAAACATTAACTGACATCTACTGTAGAGGGCACTATGCTAGGTTTAGCATGTAAGGAAAGAAAAAATAAGACACAACCTCTCCACTCACTAGGCCCGACAGTGTAGCTGTAGAGACAGACAGCTCATTATAAAACAAGATGAGGCTTGGTGCGGTGGCCTATGCCTGTAATCCCAGAACTTTGGGAGGCTAAGGCAGGAAGTTCACTTGAAGCCAGGAGTTTGAGACCAGCCTGGTCAACATAGTGAGACCCCATCTCTACAAAAGCTTAAAAATTTAGCTCCATGTTACAGCATACACCTATATTCCCAACTACTCAGGAGATTGAGGCAGAAGGATTGCATGAGCCCAGAAGTTTGAGGCTGCACTGAGCTTTGATCCTGCCACTGCACTCCAGCCTAGGTGACAGAGCAAGATGGTCCCTCTAAAAAAAATGTTTTTAAAGAAACAAAAAACATGATAGCACCATAAGGTATGTGCAAACAGCTAGAAGAACGTAGAAAAGGGAGCGATTAATTCTTGTTCTTATGTGTATCTGTGTGTGCTGGGGGCTAGACAAGGCTTCACAGAGTTGAAAAATATTTGGGCTAAGTCTTAAAAAAAATAAGGATTTCACTAACTGCCCAGCCTCTCTCTTCATTTCATAATCAATACTTTTTTAAAAAGGCCGGGCTTGGTGGCTCAGCCTGTAATCCCAGCACTTTAGGAGGCCAAGGCGAGTGGATTGTCTGAGCCCACAGGTTCGTGACCCCCCGCCCTTGGCAACTTGGCAAGACCTCGTCACTACAATAAAAAATAAAATAAAAGTAAAAAAATAAAAATAAAAACAGATAAAGGTTCTCATTTGCTAGTTTCCTTTCTATATAACCTATTCACTACTCAGTCTTCTGCCTTCCAGTTTTCCTTCCAGTCATTCCACTAAACTGTTCAAACAAACGTCACCAGGGAACTAATTGACCAATTGTTAAATCCTATGGCCTCTTTCTGTCCTCATTTTTCTTCACCTCTTTGCAGAACACCATGAATACCTCTTTTTGAATCTTTCTCTCCACCCCCCACCAGCAGTTGTCAAGTCACTGTTCTTACCAGTCTTGCTGCTTCTTCACAAGTTTCTTCTCTGCCCGTATCTTTTTTTTCTTGATACTATTTTCTTTTTTAAAAAAATTTTTATTTTAAAGATGTGGGGTATAATTCAGCGTTAGTTGTACAAACGTTCATTATGTGCCAGGCTCAGTGGCTCAGCCTGTAATCCCTCGCCTTTTGGAGGCTGAGGTGAGTGGATTGCCTGAGCCCGCAGGTTCGAGACCCGCCTGGGCAACTTGGTGAGACCTCATCTCTACAATAAATCAAAAAATTAGCCGGGCATGGTAGTGTGCGCTTGTAGTTCCAGCCATTTGGAAGGCTGAGGCGGAAGGATCGCTGGAGCCCAGCTGGTAGAGGCTGTGGTGGCCGGGAGCAGCCATTGCACTCCAGTCTGGGTGACAGAATGAGACTCCAACTCAAAAACAAAAAAACAAATGTTCATTGTGCAGGTACCCCCTTGTTGATGAGGTGTGTCCCACCCTCCCCCCACAGATTCCCACTACTGCCAACTCCCCCCTCCCCACCATCCCATCTCTTAAAAGCTGCTGTTTCACAGGATACCATCCTGCGTGTCTGCTTTCCTATTTCCCTTTTCTCCACACCCTTCTTGATGTTACTCCCATGGCTTCAGTTGCCATCCCTACACTGAGGACTCTGTGTGACTGCCACTCTTACTGTTCTCCAGATCAGCTCACCCAGCAGCTTAATGGACTCCTCCACTTTGACTTCCCTGTATTGGTTCATATTATTTGTTTTCAAGTAATAGAAATCTGACTCAGAATAGTTTAAACAGTAAAAGAAAACTCATTATAAGAGTAAAAAGAGTGGGTCTTAGAAAACTGAAGGTAGTACTACAACCAGGCCTTAAGAAGGGACCACAGCTAGAAACCAGAAACTGGGAAGCTCAAGAAGTACTCATTCTCCTTTTCTTATCTCTGTTTTTCTCTGTGCTGCTTTTTCTCTATCTCCATGGTAGATATGGCCATCTCTTTTCACAGTTCTTTTTTTTTTTTTGAGTTGGAGTCTCACTCTGTCACCCAGACTGGAGTGCAGTGGCCGCTCCCGGCCACCGCAGCCTCAACCTGCTGGGCTCTGGTGATCCTTCCTCCTCAGCCTTCCAAGTAGCTGGAACTACAGGCGTGCACTACCACGCCCGGCTAATTTTTTGATTTATTGTAGAGATGAGGTCTCGCCAAGTTGCCCAGGCGGGTCACAAACTGCAGGCTCAGGCAATTCACTCACCTCGGCCTCCCAAAGCGCAGATTACAGGCTGAGCCACCGAGCCCAGCCTCTTTTCACAGTTCTTATTCAGTTCTGCCACATTGATATTAACAATTATATTTCCATCCTTTTAAAAATATCTAGACAAGTAATCACTGGTCAGCTAATTGGGGATGGGAGGGAGCATGCAGTCACACAATACAAATTTGGCTCCTAGAAACCAAATCAGAAAAAAGATGAAGGCTCCTAGGCCTAGCAAACATCTAAGAAACTACCTAGTGTAGGCACCTTAAATTCTACAAGACTAAAACTGAACTTACCTTTTCTGCCTAGCTGCTCTTTCTCTGAAAACTAAATGCAATGTGTTCTTTTTTTTGAGTTGGAGTCTCACTCTGTCACCCAGGCTAGAGTACAGTGGCACGCTCACAGCCACCACAGTGTCAACCCACTGGCTCAGACCATCCTTCCGCCTCAGCCTTCCAAGTAGCCAGAACTACAGGTGCATGCTACCATGCATGACTAACTTTTTAAAACTTATTGTAGAGATGAGGTCTCACCAAGTTGCCCAGGCCATTTTCGAACCTGTGGACTCAGACAATCTGCTCACCTTGGCCTCCCAAAGTGCTGGGATTACAGGCTGAGCTACCATGCCGGGCCACAATGTCTTCTTTACCTATCCTCACCTAGCCGACTTATCTTCTTATAGTTCCTATTTCACTTATTACCTGAAATTTCTCTACAATTGAAGTGGTAGTTACCTTCTATCTATGCTTCTTTCACCCCTCAACTCTTCTCAGTCATCTGCCTCTGCTGTAGCTCATCTGTGCACATTCTTACTGTCTTGACTTATGCCTTGCCTTCTTCATTTGAATTATTTCCACTGCCTGCTAATGGGTTTTCCTGCTTTTGTATCTGTGCCCTCTTCAGTGTACCCTTTATACCACAGCCGAGTGGTCCTCCTGAAGTACCTATGTGGTCATATCACTCCCCAGCTTTGAGGCCTTTTTATTCATTATAGTCTGTCTGGGGTGGAAAGTGAACATCAGTGAAGGCTCCATTGGGGAGCTGCCCCCTAAACTGGGATCTGGAGGGTAAGTGAAGCTTGTTGAATGGAGGAGCAGGTAAAGCTGTATGTTCGTGTGACATTTCTTGGTGCCATATAGTGTTCTAAAACTCAAATGGTTCCTGATGGCAACTTGTTCTTTCTCACAGCCAACTAGCCTTTTCTGAGTTCTTTGCTTTGCAGAGCTCTCTATACTACCAAATTATTTCTTCCTGTAATCAGTTCTGCTCAGTCTGGTCCTGCTTAGCCCAACGATACTGGACCAATAGATTTCTTAAGTGACCTTTGGTCTTCTCTATAGGCTCATGAACGCTCAGAGAGCTCAGAGGTGGCTTTTGTGATGCAGCTGGTGAAAAAGCTGATGATTGTCATTGCCCGCCCAGCTCGTCTCCTGGAATGCCTGGTGAGTAGACTCTGGAAAGTTTAGCCTCAGAGATTTGGAGGGGAACTATAGAGGAAGTATCTTGCTGACAACAGAACTGTGATGGCACTCACTGCCATTTCTGTTGCTGAGGTTCTTATTTAAATACAATTTGCGGCCTGGCGTGGTGGTTCAGCCTGTAATCCCAGCACTTTAGGAGACCGAGACAAGAGGATAGCTTGAGCCCAGGGGTTTGAGACCAGCCTGGGTAACTTGCTGAGACCTCGTCTCTACAATAAATCACAAAAACTAGCCGGACATAGTGGCGTGCATCTGTAGTTCCAGCTACTAAGAAGACTGAGGCAGAAGGATCACCTAAGTCCAGCAGGTAGAGGCTGCGGTGGCCGTGAGCGTGCCGCTGCACTCCAGCCTGGGTGATAAGAGTGAGACTCCAACTCAAAAAAATGTATATGTATGATTTCCAAGCATTGCGGAACTGAAAAGGTTCCCATGAGGACAAATGGATGGTCCTGAGGGGTGTGGCAGAGAGTAGAATTAGTTTGGCCCACCCTCACATGAGCAGGCCCCAGTTCAGTGGGGACCCTGGAGACAAGGAGCGTGGGCCAGTGTAGTTTGTAGAATTTGAGTCCTTCAATTAATAATTCTGTTATACTTTACTGAGTACGTACTTCATACTAGACACTGGTGGCACAGATATGACTAAGGCAGAGTCCCTGATCTTAGGAAGCTCCCTCAGCCTACAGGCTCACACCTGTAATCCCAGCACTTTGGGAGGTGGAGGCAAGAGGATTGCCTGAGTCCAGGGGTTCAAGACCAGCCTGGGCAACTTGGTGAGCCCGCGTCTCTATGATACATCAAAAAATTAACCAGGCACAGTGGCGCGCTCCTGTGGTTCCAGCTACTTGGAAGGCTGAGGCAGAAGGATTGCCTGAACCCAGCAGGTCAAGGCTATGGTGGCCGTGAGCATGCCACTGCACTCCAGCCTGGGTGACAGAGTGAGACTCCCACTCAAAAAAAAGATGCTCCCTCTACAGTGGAGTTAGGGAACATTAGGCATGAGGACATGTAACCAATAAGGGCAGTATTACAAGAAGTGTTGCAACTCAGGTCAATATAAGGTGCAACAGGAACCTGGTGAAGGACCTGCTTTTGTCCTCATTGGAATGAACATTCAGTGAACACTCTTTGGGAGACATGAGGGTTATTCAGCAAACTGAAGATGTGTTTGTTGAGTAAGTCTCCAGTCTGCCAGGTAAGAGGTATGGGAACGAGCATCCAGTAGAGTATCGGCTGAAGCACTGGGGGAGAAGCCTGGAAGGTAGGCTGCAACAAGGTCACAGGGGGTGTTGGAATTTTGCATTATTCAGCTCAAGAGTTTTGTGTTATTCTTAAGGCCACTTGGAGCCAACAGAAAGTTTAGGTAAGAGTGTGACATGGTCAGATTTACTTTTTTCTTAACCAACTTTATTAAGAAATAGTTTACATGCAATAAAATATATCCCTTTTGAATGTATAGTTCATTGAATTTTAACACATACATGCTTATATAATCACTGCCACAGTCAAGATAGATATTTCTTTTACCTCCAGAAGTTCCCTTGCGCCCCTCTGAGGGTCAGTCCTTTCTTTTTCCAGCTTTCAGATAGCCACTTATTTATTTGTTTGTTTTGAGTCGAGGTCTTATTCTGTCTTCCAGGCTGGAGTGCAGTGGCATGCTTAGGGCCACAGCAGCCTCAACCTGCTGGGCTCAGGTGATCCTTCCACTTCAGCATTCCAAGTAGCTGGAACTGCAGGCGCACGCCACCACACCCAGCTAATTTTTAAAAAAAATTTATTGTAGAAACAAAGTCTTGCCAAGTTGTCCGGGCTGGTCTCAAACCCCTAGGCTCAGGCAATCCTCTCACTTCCACCTTCTGAAGTGCTGAGATTACAAGCATGAGCCATTGCACCTGGCTTAGCCTTCTTTCTTTCACTAGAGATAAGTTTGCCTTTTGTTCAGTTTTGTATAAACGAAACCATATAGAATAGATCTGACTTCTTTCACTCAGTGTAATGTTTTTGGAGATTTATACATGTTACACCTATCAGTAATCAGTTCCCATTTCTTTCTGTGTAAATATTCCATCAGATGTAGTCCTAAGAAACATTACTTTGGCTACAATATGGATAGTGAATTGGAAGAGAGGGCCAGGGCAGAGAAATCAGTGCAGAGGCCCTTGAAAAAATTTATGTGAGAGTGGGTGACCAGAACTAGGACAATGGTAGGAAAACAGAGAGGAAGAGGTGGATTAGAGAGGTATTTATGAGGTAGACATTCTGACCAGATAAGGACTGAGGAAGAATAAAAAGTTAAAAGGACTTCCAGGTCTAACTTAGATTATATCCAGATAGGTAATATTATAGTTCTTCAAAATAGTGAGACTGGAGGGGACAAAAGCAAAGTTCAAAGCAGAGGTTAGAGTTGTGATAGAGCAGAGAGAGGTTCCTCCTCAAGAACATGAAGACCATGACTAAGCAGGGCCTCGGAGTCAGGCCTGGGTTGAATGCTGGTGTTCTGTTCGATCCTACCTCTGTGACCATGGACAGTCAGTGCATCCCTGTGGGCCTTGATTTCCTCACTAAGGTCAAAGAATTACTGTGAGGGTTTAACCCAGAGTGTAGTACTTAGTAGACACTCAGTAAATGAGACCCTTATTATTATGTACAGATAAGGACTGTACTCTGTTCAACGGATCTCTAGCCCCAGCACACAGAAAGTGCTCAGTAAATATTTAAAGGTATGCACGCACTGGTAGGACTGTGGCAAAGCTCTTGTGAACCATAACTGAGTGTGTGCCAGGACTGCTCTGTACTGGGCACCTGAACACACCTAACAATGCCTTCTGGCTGATGAGAGACTTCTTGAAACCAGAAGCTGTGATCCTTATTGCTGAGAAGACAGCATATACTTAGGATGTCCAATCTGGAGGTAGCCTGAAGATAGCTTTATTCCCCATTCCCATGATCCCTGAGTCATGATGTTTCTGAGTATTCGGGGGTGGAGGTGTTCTGTCCTAAGCGAAAATCTTGTTCCTCTTACTCTGCTGTATGCTGTAAAACCAAAAAGCCCAGCAGTCTTCACTTGGGTCTCTCACCACTGACTACCTGTCTCCCCTGGTACAGGAGTTTGACCCTGAAGAGTTCTACCACCTGTTGGAAGCAGCTGAGGGTCACGCAAAAGAAGGACAAGGGATTAAATGTGACATTCCTCGCTACATCATTAGCCAGCTGGGCCTCACACGGGATCCGCTAGAGGGTGAGCATGCTGCCTGGTGGCTGCAAAGAGGCCCCACTACTGGCAAGCTCTAACAGCAGAGAAGCCACTTGGAAAAGAGACCTAGCTTGGACATGGACATGACATGTACTTGAGCACCTCAGGACTATAGAAGGCATCCAGTGATTTCTGACAAAACAGCCTTTCCTTTGGAAATGCTATTCACATCTGCCTTCCCCACCTGGGTTGCCCTAGTCCAGCTGGGTTGTATTTAGAGCCTCAGATCAAAAGAAGTCAGCAACAAGAACCACAATCACATTTGCAAAAATGGTCCTCCTCTGCCTACTTGCTTCTCCTGCTGGCCACCTTACAAACCCTTCTGTATCTTTGGGGTGATCCAACTCAGGGCTTCAGAGGATATTTCTGTTCTTCTGGGTTGCACGCTGAGACCCTGCATGAACCACAGGCTTACAAATCCCTGGTCTACAAGTATCCTCTTCTGGCCCTATTCAGTGAAGCAGCATCCTGGACAGCATGATGGGAACTAGTTGCCCAGCTTTAGGCCCTGTTTTCCTGGAAATGTCCCAAATTTATAAAATTTGCCAGGCCTTGTGAATAGCACTAGACTTCTGTTTTTAGGAGTAGCGATAGTATTTGGCTTGTTTCCTTATCCAGAAGTTGTAACTACATTGAATTTGATGCCACAGGACTGGATTTGCATCCCAGGCTGTTGCAGAAAGCATTAATACCTACCCTACCTACACCTGTTATGTGATCTCAGGGTACTGCTGAGATGCCTGACGTTGCCACACACATTTTGCTGTTGTATCCTTGTTTTGTTTCCAGAAATGGCCCAGTTGAGCAGCTATGACAGTCCTGACACTCCAGAGACAGATGATTCAGTTGAGGTAAAGACTCTGAATTCCTGCCCCAGTGCTGGAGCCAAGGCTCTGAAGCAAAGGGCTATGAATTTCCTTTAAGTAAACATCTTAGGGAGAGATGGGGGAGTTGGTGGCTACAAACATTCTCTGAGAAGTCATTCTGCCCCTGAAAGAACGAGCAGGAAACTGGAGAAGGCTAAGAGCTGAGGTGATGCTGAGGCCACAGCTTCCCCAAGCATATGGACTCTGAGAAGCATGCCTGACTCCTGCTTTTTCTGTTGTCTTTCAGGGCCGTGGGGCATCTCTGCCTTCTAAAAAGACACCCTCTGAAGAGGACTTTGAAACCATTAAGCTCATCAGCAATGGCGCCTATGGGTAAAGGCAGGGGTCAGGGTGTGTTCAGGACTGAAGCTGAGTCAGCCCTTGGTGTCTTCCATGTGGAAGTATATGATGTGCAGTCTTTTGGGGAGAAGATGCCTCCAGGGTGAACCCTCTCCCTCCTTGAAGCCTCCTGGAGAGGCAAAAGTTCAGATTCCTTTGACATCTGAGCATTGTTCCTTTGTCAGGCAAGCTTTCCATCCCTCTTGGTACCAGGCTCTCCTCCTCTCCTTGAGCTCTGGGAAAGCATTTAGCTATGTCCATAGGACCTGGTCTATCAGGAAACTTAGTTCAATGGACCAGGGTTCCCAAATCCTTCTCATTAGTATGTACACCACTGTTCCCTGCAGGTGTGAGAGAAGACAGTTTGGGTGTTGGAGGGCACAGCTCAGGTGCTAAGGGCCTCTGGGGGCTAGGCTGGGCTGTGTTTCCCAGGGCCGTGTTCCTGGTGCGGCACAAGTCCACCCGGCAGCGCTTTGCCATGAAGAAGATCAACAAGCAGAACCTGATCCTACGGAACCAGATCCAGCAGGCCTTCGTAGAGCGTGACATACTGACGTTTGCTGAGAATCCCTTTGTGGTCAGCATGTTCTGCTCCTTTGAAACCAAACGCCACTTGTGCATGGTGATGGAGTATGTTGAAGGTACTGGGGAAAAGGTGGCCTGGCATGGAAGCCAAGGCACAGTCTGAGACTTAGCCCTAAACAGTAACCAACAGCACTGTATAAGTTTCAGGGCCCAGCTTCCCAAACCCTCTTTGGTATTTATTTCTGCTTCAGGATCTCAGAGACCACTTGGCCATGATGGGCAAAGCTCCTTGCCTCTATCATGAGGCTGCCCATGTCAGGTGAGACAAGGGACACTCTGGGACAGGATATAGCAGGCCAGTAGCTATAGAATCTTGCACCCCAAAACCTGCACACCCTCTACTGCTGGTGCCAGACAGGAAACAAAGGAGTTAGCAGAGCTCCAAAAGCCCAGGGTTGGGTGCTGGGAGGATTGCATTAGGGCCCTCAGAAGAAGGGAAAGTTAGGCTGGGTGCGGTGGCTCATGCCTATAATACAAGCACTTTGGGAGGCCAAGGTGAGGGGATTACCTGAGCCCATAAGTTCGAGACCAGCCTGGGCAATTTGGTGAAACCTCATCTCTACAATAAATCAAAAAAGTAGCCAGGCGTGGTGGCATGCACCTGTAGTTCCAGCTACTTGGAAGGCTGAGGCAGAAGGATCACCTGAGCCCAGCAGGTTGAGGCTACAGTATCCATGAGCATGCCACTGCACTCCAGCCTGGGTGACAGTGAGACTCTGACTCAAAAAAAAGAAGGGAAAACTATTAATTTCCCTGGCTGATGGCTCGTGAAGGGGACACTGCTGATGATCATGCAAGAATGCTCTGGAAATGGAATAGAAGCACAACACGGGGCATAGTTCTGGAAAGAGGCAGGAGCTTTGCCAGTTCCCCCCCCCCACACACACACACACACTTGTGTGTACAGTTTTCAGAAATATTTTGCCTAAGTCCTGAAATTTAAGTTGAACAAAACTCTCTTTTTAATTTAGCAGCTACATGGTGAGAGTTTCTAGTGTTACTTTACTCAGAAACTAAAGGAAAGGCAATAGGAAGGAAATAAATGACCAAAGCTAAAGTCTCAGCTAGATATGTTATAGACAGTGTTCCCACCCTAAAATAACTTATTTCTATCCCTATAAGTCAACTTGTAGGCATAGAGGACTGGGTTCCTTTGCTATCGGGCTGAAACAATGGCCTTGTCAGCCATTGGCACATTCACCTGACTTTTATTCCCCTCCACACCCTGTCTCCCAGCAGAGGGGCTAGAATCAGAGTCTCCAGTACCAGTGTATTCTCTGAAGCTGTCTCCTCTGGGACCTCAGAGACTACAAGGCTGGGAACTGGCTCCTTCCTTCATGGTGGCCTGGACTTGTTGCAGGGGGAGACTGTGCCACTCTGCTGAAGAACATTGGGGCCCTGCCAGTGGACATGGTACGTCTGTACTTTGCGGAAACCGTGCTAGCCCTGGAGTACTTACACAACTATGGCATCGTGCACCGGGACCTCAAGCCTGACAAGTACGTCCACAATCTCTGTCTCTTGTCCAGGGTCTCCCTCTGGGTCTCTAGATAAATGGAGACAAATATAGTACATTTGACTCTATCCCAGAATGGCTGCTGGGAAGCAACATGCATGTCCTTAAAGCATAGTTCTTGAGTTCCCTGACCACCTCAAATGAAAAGACCATTGCCACAAGGTCTGGCAGGAGCACTGTAAGGCTTTGGTGACATGAAAAAGTCACTGAGGAGCTCCACTGAAGAAACCAAGCAGAAACAAATCAGCATGTCTTGTAGATGGCTAACAAGTGTCCCAACATTTATTGACACCTACTTTGTGCTAAGCTTTATATTCTGAGTTTTACATGTAGTCCCTGGCATGTAGAACTTCAGTCTACAATGAGAAACAGAAATAGAACCTATATATATGGGCTTCTCAGAGGGCGGGAAAAGGTGGGCGAAGCTTTCTAAAACTAAGGGCAGGATGTGCAAAGGCACACAGGTGTGAGAGGACATGACCCATCAGGAACTACAAATAGTATAGTATGGCTACTGCTTAGAAGGTTAGTTGATCTGAGAGTGGCAGTAAGAGAAAAGGCTAGAGAAACCAGTTCATCAAAGGCCCTTTTGTTAAGTTTGGGTTTTATTTGAAAGGGCTTAGAGAGTCTTTGAATGGCCTGTTAACCCAGGGTATGATAGACTGACATGTTAAAATTTTGGTTTAGGTTTATAAAGATCACTCCACTGATGGAAAGGGACAGTGAGACCACTGCAGTTAGACCAGGCCAAAGACAGCAATGCCTGCACCAGAACAGAGTCAGGATGGAGAAGAGAGGGAATGGTGTAGTGAAGTGGAAAGGAAGGAAGATAAGGGTGGGGTGGTGGTAGAAAGGAAGCAAGGAAACAGAAGGAGGCTGGGATGTCTTCCAGATTTCTAGCTTGGGATGGTGCAGGGTGATAAGTCTCTGGTAGAAGTTGACATTAGACAGACCTGAGTTCAAATGGCCACTCCTGTTTGTTAACTCTGTGAGCTTGAATCCATTAATCAGATTTCCCTGAACCTCATGTTCCTCCTCTTCAAAATGGGAATAATAATACTTATCTTTGTGGTGTTAGTTACTTTAGAATATTTTTAAAGCACTTATCACAGCTCTGCAGATAACAGAAATTATTGTTTTTTACTGAGAAGAGGAGCCAGTTGGGAGACATAACTTTGTTTAAACAGACTGAGTTTGTAATGCCTATAAGACATCTAGGCAGTTGGGTAGACTTGGAGTTCATGAGAGTCAAGGCCAGAGATACTGATTGGAGAATCATTAGAATAAAGAAGTGGCAGGGTGAAGCCTTCAGCACAAAATGAAATGACTCAGGCAGAGTATGGCAATTCCAGTTTCTCCCAACCAACTTTCTTTCCAAGACTAGCCATGGTAAGAAGAGGGGACTAGGAATGGCCAGAACAACCGCCTTAGGATGAGGCTGATTTCAACTCTGTAGAAGAAAATCTGTTCCTCAGCTGACTGATACCTGCCCCCAGTATAGAATACAATTAGGGCAATAAATGAAAATGGCATTGTGGGAATGGGCAAAAGGCAAGTTAGTTGCCTGTGCAGAATGCAGTATCACAGTACCAGAACTACTTAACTTTTCCCAGCTTCCCAGCTCCCTGCTACAGTACCCCATAGAAGCCTGAGTGGGGAAATCTGGCGTATACTAAAATCAGCACTCTTGGAAAACCAGGAATAACTTTATAATTTTGATTCTCTGATTCCCAGCCTCCTAATTACATCCATGGGACACATCAAGCTCACTGACTTTGGACTTTCCAAAATTGGCCTCATGAGTTTGACGACAAACTTGTACGAGGGTCACATTGAAAAAGATGCCCGGGAATTCCTGGACAAGCAGGTAAGGAAGGACAATTGAGACCTTGGTGTTAAATTCTAGGCCTTAGAATAAGTAAGGTCTTGGGACCACTGCTTACCCTGAGCTAAATGCTAAGACAGGAGCCCCAGGGAGGCACTGAGATGGGCAGCACATTGGGAAAGCAGGATGGGCCATGAGAATCACGGATAAAATCCAAAATCATCTTTCTCCTTAGTGTTTGGAGAAAATGGGTCATATAACTGTTAACACAGAGTTTTCATGTGAGATCAATCCTGAACCTCGCAGCCTGAGTCAAGGACGAGGCTCTCCTGGGACCTGTTGTCTTTGGAACACAGCTCTAAATTTCCATTAGGCTGTGACCCAGTTTCTGAGAGTAGCCTCTGGACGTTCCCTGATTTGATATTTCAAGTTGTGACTGCTCACAAGTCCCTGTAGTAGTCCTGTGACTGGTAAGGTCTGTTCTTTGGGAGGCTGGAGTAGAGGCCTAATGTAGAATCAGATGTCAGAGGAGAGCTTGGAGGGCTCTGGGAAAGCTGGTTCCAGGCTAGAATTAGCAATTTTGGTTAATTAGGAAATACCAGCAGTTCTGACTCTGGTTCCCTAAGGCTCCTGTTGATCTTGTTTACTGGCTAAGGTGAGCAGAATCTTCATTCAGAGACTTTTTTGCTCCAGAACTGGGAACATCCGCACCCCTCTGGCCATTGTGCCAGGGAGCAGCTTCAAGGTGCTGAACCAGGCTTACTTCTCTGTGTTCAGGTGTGTGGGACCCCAGAGTACATTGCGCCTGAGGTGATCCTGCATCAGGGCTATGGGAAGCCAGTCGACTGGTGGGCCATGGGCATAATCCTGTATGAGTTCCTGGTGGGTTGCGTCCCTTTCTTTGGAGACACTCCAGAGGAGCTCTTTGGGCAAGTGATCAGTGGTAGGTACCATCAACTGGCCCCTTGGGGAGACAGAGTCTGGTTTCATTAACGTGATTTATGCATGCACCTGTGAGGCTTCTGAGTTTTTTTTCTGACTTTGCCATATGTGTTTGTTATACTTGCTTCTGGGGTGGGGGGTGTGCATGAATGTACACATGCATGCTGTACCCCTGGGACTGTGTTCATGTATCTCCCATATGTATGTGGGCGTTCCTATGTGATGTATGTGTATACCTTGTGAGTGTGAGTTCTATGTATGTATGAGTGTGTATCTGGAGTATAAAGACAGGGTGAGCTAGAGCTTCAGGACAGGGGAAGACACTGTTTTGCAATGCTCACCCTGGATCAAAGATCAGACCATGCTTTAGGAACCTACAGAACGTAATGATTGGGGTCCTAGGCAAGGCTTTCAGGGGCTCTGGGTTGGACCCTTTATACCTCCCTTTCTTAACATTCTGGGACCCTCTTCTGCTTCCCTTCACTTTGCCCACAATTTTTCCTTTCCCTCTCACCCCTGATGAATTCAGATGAAATTGTGTGGCCTGAGGGTGACGATGCACTTCCCCCAGATGCCCAGGACCTCACTTCCAAACTGCTCCACCAAAATCCTCTGGAGAGACTGGGAACAGGTAGGACAGGCCCTGCTAACCTTTCTCGCCGTTTGGAAAAGGAAAAGGGATGCTGAGTCTATGTACCCTGGAGTTTTGGGCTTCAGGTACGGGCAGTTCCCCTGGATCCTGAAGCTCTGCCCTGCTCCCTGTCGGTTGAGAATGAAAGGTGCTTGAGCTGAGGCCTCCAGGTATAGCTTCTTGAGGTCTGGCCTCTTGATTTGCTGACCTGGACTCCATGCAGCTCATCCCACCCCCTTGCCCACGCCCTCCCCATCCATAGGTAGTGCCTACGAGGTGAAGCAGCACCCATTCTTTATGGGTCTGGACTGGACAGGACTTCTCCGCCAGAAAGCTGAATTTATTCCTCAACTGGAGTCTGAGGATGATACCAGCTACTTTGACAGTAAGGCCACCAGTTGCCAGGGGAGGGAGAACGGAAATGCCTGACCTTGGCATTGGGAGCAACTTCTCAAGGCTCTGCTGAGGTCTTATAGAGTCACAAGGAGGCCACCAGCAGGGGCTCTGACGGAGATTCTCCCCTGTGTCTGGCCCAGCTCGTTCAGAGCGATACCACCATGTGGACTCAGAGGATGAGGAAGAAGTGAGCGAGGATGGCTGCCTAGAGATCCGCCAGTTCTCTTCCTGCTCTCCAAGGTTCAGCAAGGTGTGACTGAAGAGGCCCAGGGTGGGTAGTACAGGTTGGAGGACTGGGAGGAGAGGACCTGTCAAGGGACACACCTGGGGCAGGCTCGAGGTTGGTGACAGGGTCACCTTAGAAAAAGGAGCAGAGGGCTGGGCTGTATACCACAGGAGCTTCTAGTACCACTCTGTCCCAGACATGAGATGACAGATCAGACCAGCAGAATTCTGGCTGCCTCCCCAAATATTCAGCAGGGTTGTGCTAGGAGGGGAAGGAGAGGACCAGCTCCAATTCCTGGGGGTTTCAGGGGCCAAGGATCCTTTCTGCTGCTTGGTAGGTGTAGCTGTGACACCCCCTCCCCAGTGTGTCCCCTGTGCCCACAGGTATACAGCAGCATGGAGCGGCTCTCATTGCTCGAGGAGCACCGGACACCACCCCCCACCAAGCGCAGCCTGAGTGAGGAGAAGGAAGACCGCTCAGATGGCCTGGCAGGGCTGAAGGGTCGAGACCGGAGCTGGGTGATTGGCTCCCCTGAGATGTGAGCACCCACAGCTCACCCAGGGTGGGCAACACAGCTGTCCCTAGCTGTCATAGATCACAAAGATTCAAATGCTGGGAAGGAGTGCTGGTGGCAGTGAGGGGGCATTCACAAGGGTGGCTCCTGGAAGACTGGATACGTCTCAGGAAGACTGGATGGGAGGAGGGAGACCACCTAGGCCATCTCACCCAGACCTTGTGTCTCACAGATTACGGAAACGACTGTCAGTGTCTGAGTCATCCCACACAGAAAGTGATTCAAGCCCTCCAATGACGGTGCGACGTCGTTGCTCAGGCCTCCTGGATGTGCCTCGGTTCCCTGAGGGCCCTGAGGAGACCAGCAGTACCCCCAGGAGGCAGCAGCAAGAGGGTATATGGCTCCTGACACCCCCATCTGGAGAGGGGATATCTGGGCCTGTCCCTGAAAGGCCAGTGGAGCAGCGACTAAAGCTGAATGAGGAACCTGTTGGCCAGAGCAGTGGCGGTCCAGGTGTGGCCCTAGGCTGGAGGATACTGCAGGGAGGGAGGCTCAGCTGCATCGCAGGTCTCACTGTTCACTTGGGCCCACAGCTATGGAGACTCGAGGCCGTGGGACCCCACAGCTGGCTGAGGGAGCCACAGCCAAGGCCATCAGTGACCTGGCTGTGCGTAGGGCTCGCCACCGGTTGCTCTCTGGAGATTCTGTAGAGAAGCGCACCACTCGCCCTGTCAACAAAGTGATCAAGTCCGCCTCAGCCACAGCCCTCTCCCTCCTCATTCCTTCTGGTGAGGCCCCTAGGGAGCTGGGATAGAACTTACAGGAAGGGCCTTGGAATCTCCATGGGCCTGCTGCAGGGGACTGCACGCAACAGTTGTGTATGTGTGTGTTTGTGTTGAAGAGCAAGTATCAGAGAGTGCATGTCACTGCATGTCCCTTTGCTGTTAGTCTGGAGATCTCTGAGATGTGCATTGGTGTCTAGGGTTGCATGTACATGTAGCTGAAGGAGGATAGCACCATGTAACGAGTGTTGGCTTTGAGGTAGAGTGCTCATGTTCAAATCGTGGTTCCATCCCTAAATGGCCCTTGACCTTGAGCAAGTGGCTGCACCTCCTCTAAGCTTCAAGTTCCTCACCCAAAAATGTTACTATTAACAGTGTAACTCATAGGATAATTATGAAGTTTAAATATATATGGTGAGGGCCAGGTGTGGTGGCTCATACCTATAATCCCACACAATGGGAGGCTGAAGTGGGAAGGTTGCTTAAACCCAGGAGTTCAAGACTAGCCTGGGCAACAGAGCAAGACCTCGTCTCTACAAAAAATTAGCCAGGCATGGCGGCACATGCCTATAGTCCCAGCTACTTGGGAGGTTAAGGCAGAAGAATGCCTGAGGCCAGGCATGGTGACTCATGCCTATAATCCCAGCACTTTGGGAGGCCGAGGCGAGAGGATTGTCTGAGCCCAGGAGTTTAAGACAAGCCTTGGCAAAACAGCAAGACCTTGTCTCTACAAAAATAAAAAAATTATCCAGGTGTGGTAGTGCATGCCTGCAATCCCAGCTACTAGGGAGGCTGAGGTGGGAGGATCATCTGAGTCCAGAAGGTTGAGGCTATAGTGACCTGTGATTGCGCCACTGTCCTCCAACCTGGGTGACAGACTGAATCTCAGAAAAAAGAAAAAGAATGCCTGAGCCCAAGAGGTTGAGGCTGTGGTGAGCCATGATCGTGCCACTGCACTCCAGCCTGGATGACAGAGTTGAGACCCCAACTCAAAACAAAAGTGTGTGTGTGTGTCTGTGTGTGTGTGTGTGTGTGTGTATAAAATGAGCTCATATAGCCCCTGATCCATACATAAATGCTAGCTACCCCCTCACCCCAACCCCCACCGAGGGTCTGGGCATTTGAGAGGGCTTTGCAGTCAGGGGCTATGGGGAGGATGTACCTGGGCTCAGGTTCTGTCTGTGACTGGAGTTGTGCTGGGATCTGCAGACTAGACGGGGGGCCAGGGCCCTCCAACCCACTAAGTCTTGGCTTCTCCTTCTCTAGAACACCACATCTGCTCTCCACTGGCCAGTCCCATGTCCCCACATTCCCAGTCGTCCAACCCATCGTCCCGGGACTCTTCTCCGAGCAGGGACTTCTTACCAGCCCTTGGCAGCTTGAGGCCTCCCATCACCATCCACCGAGCTGGCAAGAAGTATGGCTTCACCCTGCGGGCCATCCGCGTCTACATGGGTGACTCTGATGTCTACACTGTGCACCACATGGTGTGGGTATGTCTGGCCATTCAGACCTGTTGCCTCCCAGCTTCATCACTCTTCCACCTTCCCCTTAGCGGAGCCCATCTGTCCCTGCTTGAGGTCACAGGGTGGTGGTGAAGGGGGTCACAGCTTCCTGAGCAGAACCAGGCCCCATGCTTCATGCTGAGGCTCTAGACCGGGACCTATTCTCTTCCTCTGACAGCATGTGGAGGATGGAGGTCCAGCCAGTGAGGCAGGGCTTCGTCAGGGTGACCTCATCACCCACGTCAATGGGGAACCTGTGCATGGGCTGGTGCACACGGAGGTGGTGGAGCTGATCCTGAAGGTTAGTGCTGGGTATGCTGCTCGCTTGGGCCTGATGGGACCCCAACCTGTAGGTCTGTGACTGGCCCTAGGGGAGTGGGAGAACTAAACACCCATACAGCTGGCACTGAGGATGGATATAGGCACACCCAGAGTTTGGGCGTGGCATAGCAGAGAGTTTTCTCCACAAGGCAGCACCCTCAGTGAGCAAGGCCAAGGGCTCCTTCTGAGCTTGAATAGGCTGGAGAACAGGCCAGGCGAGCCTCCTCTCTAACTTTCCATCCCCAAGCTATTCTGGCTGGGCCTCTAGTGGTTCAGACCTGCTGGCGCAGGGGCACAAGCTAAAGCTGTGGTATAGACATGCCTGGGGCTAAGAGCAGAGGCAAGAATATGGCCACCACCTTAGCTGTGCTCTACTCCCCAGAGTGGAAACAAGGTGGCTATTTCAACAACTCCTCTGGAGAACACGTCCATTAAGGTAGGACCCGCTCGGAAGGGCAGCTACAAGGCCAAGATGGCCCGAAGGAGCAAGCGGAGTCGGGGCAAGGATGGGCAGGAAAGGTGAGTCAGGCTTAGCCCAGCGGGTCTTCTGAGCCACATGGGTGCTTGTGTGTGCTGTGTCTTGAGCACAAACTCAGCCATTGACTCATCTCGGCAGCAGAAAAAGGAGCTCCCTGTTCCGGAAGATCACCAAGCAGGCGTCCCTGCTCCACACCAGCCGCAGCCTTTCTTCCCTGAACCGTTCCCTGTCATCAGGGGAGAGTGGGCCGGGTTCTCCCACACACAGCCACAGCCTTTCTCCCCGATCTCCTACTCAGGGCTACCGAGTGACCCCTGATGCTGTGCATTCAGGTACGAAGGTCTCCTGCAGATCAGAGACACCCCTGGGAAATAGAAACATGCCTAGGCCTCTGTGCTTCTTGCAGGTCCAACTCTGAATCTCTCACTTAGCCCACCCTGAATGGCCTAGCAGTCCAGGGGAGGAATTGACGGGGAAGGGAGTGGCTTGGTTTCTGTAACTTGGGCTCTGGCCCACGTGACAATTCTGGGATATCACAGGGCTAAGCCCTGTCTTGCTCCTCAATCATTTCTAACAGTTAACACTGCTCTGCCTTTGTCTGTCTGTCTGTGCGTAGTGGGAGGGAATTCATCACAGAGCAGCTCCCCCAGCTCCAGCGTGCCCAGTTCCCCAGCCGGCTCTGGGCACACACGGCCCAGCTCCCTCCATGGTTTGGCACCCAAGCTCCAACGCCAGTACCGTTCTCCACGGCGCAAGTCAGCAGGCAGCATCCCCCTGTCACCACTGGCCCACACCCCTTCTCCACCACCGCCAGCAGCTTCACCTCAGCGTTCCCCATCACCCCTGTCTGGCCATGGAGCCCAGGCCTTTCCCACCAAGCTTCATTTGTCACCTCCCCTGGGCAGGCAACTCTCACGGCCCAAGAGTGCAGAGCCACCCCGTTCACCACTTCTTAAAAGGGTACAGTCAGCTGAAAAACTGGCAGCTGCACTTGCTGCTTCTGAGAAGAAGCTAGCCACTTCTCGCAAGCACAGTCTCGACCTGCCCCATCCCGAGCTCAAGAAGGAACTGCCACCAAGGGAGGCCAGCCCTCTGGAGGTAGTTGGGACCAGGGGTGTGCTATCTGGGAAGGGAGCATTGCCAGGGAAGGGCATGCTGCAGCCAGCTCCCTCACGAGCTCTCGGCACCCTCCGGCAGGACCGAGCTGAACGACGAGAGTCGCTCCAGAAGCAAGAAGCTATCCGTGAGGTAGACTCCTCAGAGGATGACACCGATGAGGGGCCTGAGAACAGCCAGGGTGTACAGGAGCTGAGCTTGGCACCTAACCCAGAAGTGGTCCAGAATCTGCCCCCGAGGGGAGCAGGAGATGGTGGGGAAGAGGATACCTTTTTGCCTGGAGACCCTAGGAGCCAGGGCCCAGTGGTGTCAGGCCTTTTGACAGGGATCATCCTGGGGCCTCCCAGAATGGAAGGTTCCAATAGCCCCCAGAGGAGACCCGGGATCCCACAAACTTCTGAGAGGGCTGCCAGCTCCTCCCCACCAGCACCCAGCCTGGGTAGGTCTGGACCCACTGTCTCCATCTCCCCTGAAGGCTGCTGGAAAGCCCAGCACTTCCACACCCAGGCACTAACAGCACTTTGTCCCAGCTCTTCAGGACTTACACCTACCAGTTGCTCTCCTGCTGCTTGCACCTCTGGGAAGCCAGACGTATTGTCCTGGAAATACCTTATTGAGGGCCCAGACAGGGCATCCCCAAACAGGAAGGCAACAATGGCAGGTGGGCTGGCTAGCCGCCAAGACTTGGAAACCACAACTCCAGCCCACCCTAGGAACCTGTCTCCCAGACAGGAGGGGAAGACACAGCCACCGTGTGAAGTGCCCAGCCAAAGCTGGCTGTGGGAGCCTGGGTGTGCACAAGCAGAGAAAGAGGATCTGGGCCTGAGCATCACCAAAGTGCCTGATGCCTCAGGCGACAGGAGGCCGGACGTTCCATGCAGAGGCTACCCCCTCACCCAGGAGTCTGGACCCAGCCTGCTCTGGAGAGACCGAGAACCAGGGGGCCATCAGAAGCATCAGGACTTGGCATTGGTGCCAGATGAACTTCTAAAACAAACATAGCAGTGTTCGCCATTTCTTGCACCCAGACCTGTGTAATACACGTTCCTGGGAACCATCTTGTCTTTGCTTGCCTCTTTCCTTCGGTCAGCACGTTACTAGATCCTGTGTTGCGGCTGGGAATACAGTGGTAAATAACAGGGTTGCTAACTCAGGGAGGGGCGTCTAACCCAACTCGACCTACCAGGGCTGTGACATCTGAGCTGAAATATGAAGAAGGTGATACGTAGTCATTTGCGGGATGAGGGAGGAGGAGTGGCTTCAGAAAGAATGTCCAGGCAGAGTACAGCACATACAGTGTATCAGGTACATTTAAGAACCCAAAAATAATTCAAAGTGGAAGGGGGTCTAGCAAGGTAGGCGAGGACCATATCTAATAATCTATCAGGAGTTTAGACTTTGTGAAGAAGATGGGAAAGTCTACGTGGCAACTAACATTCCTATTTACAGATAAGGGAACTTAGGCTTTCGTGCTAGTGGTCATGTGGCTTGGGCAGAGTTGGGGATTGGAACCGTGGTTTCTTGACTCTAGAAGCCATGTGTATCTCCTAACTTGGAGTGCCTCAGCCAAGAGAAGAGAGAGGGGGAGGCAGAGGAGGGTGTGCCTTTTGGATGTAGTGAATTTGAGCTGCTTATGGGTTATCCAGAAGATAACTGGGTGCCTGGGTCTGGAACTCAGAAAAATCTAGACCAGACAGACATGAGAGCTGTCAGTGTATGAACAGGACCACCACCACTTAAGGTAAAGAAGAGCTGGGCTCAGTGGCTCAGCCTGTAATCCCGCGCCTTTGGGAGGCTGAGGTGAGTGGATTGCCTGAGCCTGCGGGTTCGAGACTCACCTGGGCAACTTGGCGAGACCTCATCTCTACAATATATGAAAAAAATCAGCCGGGCGTGGTAGTGCACGCCTGTAGTTCCGGCTACTTGGAAGGCTGAGGCAGAAGGATTGCCGGAGCCCAGCAGGTTGAGGCTACGGTGGCTGGGAGCGGCCACTGCACTCCAGTCTAGGCGACAGAGTGAGATTCCAACTCAAAACAAAAAGGTAAAGAAGCAGCAACAGCCAGAAGACAGTCAAAGTCCAAGAGAGCAAATTGTTTTAAATGGAGGGAGAAGTTACTTGATAAAACACTGAGAGGTCAGGTGAGATGAAAACAGAAAATTGCCTGTTGTATTTAGTAGCAAGACCCTTCCTTGTGTTTGTAGCCAGTGAGCCTGTTCTGGGCTACTGCAGGTAAGCCTCGGCACTGGAGGTGGATGTTGCAGTGTACAGCCCTTGAGTAGAACTTGGTGTGAGTGTGGTAGGGATGGGTTGTCAGGAAGTGTCATCACAGGACAGGGAACCGGGCTTGGAAGACGAGTGCCTCCATGGGTACAGGGCTTGCAGAACTCATCTGCACTGACTGTCCCACAGTCCAGTGCTGAGGTCTGAAGGAGAGGTGTCAAGAGACCTGGAGACAGGAGAACGTCTCAAGGCCATTGGCCGGGTGCCTCTTCATCTTCTTGCACAGGGAAGACTGGCCGCCAGAGGGCAGAATCCAACTGTGGAGATATTTAGTCCCTCAGCCTTCCAGACCTCTGGATTTCACTTCCTCCTTCCTTACCAGCAGGCCCTGGGCTAATGTCCTGGGCACTGGAAAGACAGGTCACACACAGGCTATTGCTTGGTGGATTGTAGGGAATGGCTGAGGGGGTGAGTATCCCATGTATAATGTCAAGATCTGGTCAGAAGTACAATGCCAAAGGTTAAGGTGGTAGGAAGAAACATCTTGCACCTTTCGTGGGAACTGCCCTCCTAGGGGTTGGAAATGTGGGTAGGAGATGCTGAGCATCCTGTTCCACATGGGGCAACTGGCCCCGGTGTCAGTGGTGCTCCCCTTGAGAAATTACTCTCCTGAGGGGAGTGAGGAATTTCTGAAAGGTAACTTCAGGAAAATAGGTTTATGTTTTAGGAAGGTCACCGTTGCTACAGTGTAGAGAGGCTAGGGGGGAGTAGGCATCCAGAGAGAGAACCTATTATAGTGGTCTGAACTAGGGCAGCAACAGTGAGGAGATAACCCCAATCCAAGAAAGGAAGGAGGGAAAGGATGGGAAGCTGGACACAGATTTGGGAACAGGAAATACACGGTAATCAAAAGCTGTGGGGGCTGAGGACAGCCCAGAGAACACATGCAGAATGAAAGGAAGGCTCAAAATGGGACTAGCTGAGGGGATGGAGCCAGTCAAAAGAGAAGGTGAAGTGGGGCATGAGATCCTCAAACGGAGAAGAAGCCAGACCATTTTAAGAATTTTATAATTCACCCTAAGAGCAATTGAAAGTTATGTAATGTTTTCCACACGGGTTCAGATGTGTATTTTGAAAAGATGACTAGTTGCTATAATGAGAATGAATTTGGTGGGGGCAAGAATGGAAGCAGGCAGACCTTCCAGGATTAAGGTTAGAGATGGGCTGGACGCAGTGGATCATGCTCATAATCCCAACACCTTGGGAGGACAAGGTGGGAGAACTGCTTCAGGCCAGGAGTTCAAGCCCAGCCTGGGCAGCACAGCAAAACATTATCTCTACAAAAAAAAAAATTAGGTGTGGTGGTGCACACCTGTAGTCCCAGCTACTTGGAAAGCTGAGATGGAAGAATAACCTGAGCCCAGAAGATGGACGGTCGATGCCGTGGTGAGCCATGATCATACCACGGTACTCCAGCCTAGGCAACAGAGTGAGACTCTGACTCAAAAAAGTGATTTGAGGTTGACACAAAGCAGAGGGCTATCAAGGATGACTACATTTCTGACTTCTATAACCAGATGAACCGTATTGCCATTCACTGAAGTATGAAACAGTGGAAGAGCACCAGATGAAATGGTGACCCTGCATTCCGTGCAGATCCAATGTGCTGAGCATGGGGCATCCTCTGGTAGTGGTCTGGGCAGGTGAAACAGATGTCATTGGCCTAGTGAGGATAGGTGGCTGCCGGGTAAAATGGCATTAAGTGGGAAGGCAGCTGGGAGAAGCCAGGAGACTTAAAAGGAACAGTCGGAGATGTCAGAAGAAAAATTGATGAAAGTTGTAATAGAATCGATAAAAGCTTTCACATGGAGAGAGCAGTAAACAGTGATAGCTGTTCAAGACACCAAGGAGAGCAGTTTCAAGAAGCGGTAGATCCAGTACTGAAATGCTTGAGGTGAGGACATAAGGACAGTTTGTCCACTCTTTCAAAAGACTTGGCTTTGAAGAGAGAAAAGAGATAAAGGGATACAGGATTGAGCAGGGGTTCGAGCATTAGAATGAGAGACAACCAGTCATGTTTAAAGGTCAGTGGGGACAATCCAGTTGAGATAGTGAAAGAACTGCTCATTGATCATGGGAGATTCTAGAGAAGGTAGGAGAAAACCTTCCAAAATACATATGGAGAGACTGACTTTAGCTGGAGGGGAACTATCTTTTGTGATTTAACCTGTGGGAAGGAGAACAGTCACGTAGATATAGACAGGTTCGCAGATTTGGTGGTACAAGGTAAGGGAATTCATAGCCGACCATGTTTTCTCTGTGAAATAAGTAAGTTCCAAGAGTCCCAGTGGAGACATCCATCCAGCAGCTGGAGTCAGAAGAAAGAACTGGGCAAGAGACAGGAATTTGAGCAGCCTAAACACAGAAGTGGGACTAACTCTTGGGATTAGGAGAAATCACTCATAGTTTCTAGCCGTGGTCTTGGGGGTGCTGTGTAGCTAAAGTATTGTGAGGAGACAGGACACAGACGAGGTCATTTAGAACAACAGTACTGGCTCTTTCCCCTACCCAGCCTGGTTATTTGTAGTTGAGCACACATGTGTTTGCTGATTATGTTCCCCATACATAGGAACCTCAACAGAGTGCCCTGGCAGGGGATGACAAGGGTGTGGATGACAAGGCAACAATAGGATACACAGACTGTGCCCAGTTCACTTTCCCCTAAAGTCAAATGTGGAGACATTTAATTCCAGGCAGAAAAATACGGTGAGAACCAATAAACTGGGCTTAATATTAGGCGTGGGTGGTAGGGATGGGGAAGAAATGGCTCAGATTTAATTTTCTCAGAGTCAGTATTTGAGTTTCCCTGTATCCTGTGCTGGGCGGACAGGAACCTGGCATCATGCCTGTTAGGGTTGATTTCCCCTTGAGGGGAGGAAGAAAGCCTTTGGTGGCCCCAGTGCAGCCCCAGGACTGGTCTTTCGGTGCTTATTGGAGAGGAGGTTTGGCAGTTTCAAGGGTTTTTCAACATCCCAGTACTCCTCTCTTGACACCCACCCTGCCCCCAGGCCCACCTTCTATGCATGAAGACAAAAAGTTGCTTTATTGCAATGTCTTTATTGCATTACTGGAGCAAGTTGGCCAGACTGTCCCCTCTTGGGAACGGTAAAAAACAAAAAGACCATAAGTATCTCCTCTCACCTTTCCCCCCACCCTTCCCCACAACTGCACAGCAATGTCTGAACACATCTAGTGACGAGGACAATTTGCAAAAGTGGTCTAGGAACTACATTATGAACTGTTCCAACACAAGACATACAGTTGGCTTCCTTGTGAATCAGATATTTTTACGTAAACTACATGAATTTTTTTGACTACATCAAAGACAACGGAAGAATAGGTTTTTCACAAGTAACAACAGGGCACCAAAGTCACATGCTGGAATTTGGAAAAAAACAAGGTTGCCTGTCACAAGTGGCTGGAGCTAAAGCAAGGCTGAGCAGTTGGCAGCAGAGAGCCCAGGCAGGCCCCTATCTGGACCCTCTGGGTTTCTGAGGCCATTGAAGCCTCACAGAGGCCTATGGGGTCTTAACTGGCAGCAGAGAATACCTTAATAACCAGGAATTGCCCAGGTGCGATTCTTGGTTCAAGAGAACATATGGGGCAGGTTCCTTGCAGCAAGAAGAGGAGGCCCATGGAAGACACCACACTGGCTCTCAAAACTTCAGAGCACATGAGGTCCAAAGTAAGTGGAAAATCCCATCAAGGCTTGGAGAGGGAGAAGTGGAGGTGTTGGGAGGTCCTCATCCTTGGCCAGATCAGTGGTAAGGTCACAGCAACCTATCCAGGCCTGAACCATGGCCTAAGTTTGGCAACTATGGCCAGGTGGAGATAGCATTGTTCTGTGATGAAAGCTCCACTTGGAAAAGGTGAGCCTAGGACCTGTGTCCAGTCAGCCCCACAGTGCTTTTATGTCAGTGGCTGACTTCACCAGCCAGGAGAATATTTGTCTTGGTCTGTCTCTACACCCTCTGCCTCAGTGAGACTGCAGTTGAGCTGCCAAGAGAGATAGTACCAAGGCCCAGATCACAGGACAGGACACAGCACTAGATTCACATACTACCCTCCACAACCACCAGACCCAGAGATTAGCATACTCCTCCCTATGACATTTCCACTGGCTCAGGATTGAGCAAATCATGTGGCAACTGGTCAGAAACGATCCTGTCCAACTTCTGAAATTATCCCTGGGCCTGAGATATGAATTCAAGAACAAAAAAAAAAAGAGAAAAGTGAAGGAAAGTAGGACTGAAAAACAGCCCTTCTCCACAAGCCAGCCCAAGTGTAGAGAGAAGATAGTGCATGCTCTTTCCCTGCACACTTCAATATCTACCCAGCGAAGAGCAGACACATTGCTCAACACAATAGGCCTGCATCCAGATTCCCATTTGGGTTTATTTTTAAAGACGTTCAGAACACATTGAAATTTCAGGACCAGATGGGAGGGATCCCTCACCCCCAATCTTGAGCATCCACCTACTTAAGCAGCTTCAATACCAGATGCAAAGCCATTCAGGTATGGCCAGCAGCAATCAACCTGGCATCACTCAGTAAAACATTCAGTAAGATTTCAATCTGGCAGTTTGGGGAAGGGATGTGCCCGCTATTAGTTAAGGGCTTCTTCAGTCAGAACGGTGACATGGGAGTGGCTCATTCGCCTTTCTCTTACCCAGTCCTGAAATCAACATAATCAAGGAAAAGCCAAAAATATGTGCTTTTCTTCCTATCCTCATTGCTAGTAACTCTGAAGGGTTTTCCAAAATTTTTAGCCTATATTTATGTCTATATCATGGGTCATATTTTAGACCCTGTCACCAAGTGCTCAGGGCAGGCAATATTTTTCTTTCACCCCCAAAACTAGAGTTTTCCTAGCTATAGCCTCATGAACCAAGACCCAGGTACTGGCTTCTCTAGTTCAGCCAGGATGCCTGACTGCACAGCTTTGGGTTCAAACAGCTGACTCACTCTGAGCCTATTATGGTTCCAGGATTGGCTCAGAGGCAGCTGGACTCTATTTGTCAAATACGTGTTGACTGATGGGTGTGGGGCATCCTGGAGCAGGAAGAGATGCCTGCCCCCTACTCCATTCGCCCAGCTTCACTCAGCTGGAAGGCATAAGCCACGTGAAGCAGAAGATTCCTGGCCTAAAGTCAAGGCCACTGAGCATGAGGGCAGACTATGCACACTGCCTTAATGGCAGGATCACACAAAAAAAGGCAAAGAGAAAAGCTTCCAGATGACTTCTGTCTAAACTCTAAGCCATCTTCTCCCCCTGCAAAAGCTTCAGAAACTGCTGGACAGAAGAACATGCGCAATGTAGTATGACCCTCCCTCACCCTGGACACCAGGGCCCTTGGGTCTCTGTGACTTATTGAGGTCCCTGACCACAATCTGACTCCCCTCCTTAGTAACTATGGCTCTCTAAACCCTACCCAGCAAAGGAGTGGGAGATCAAGGGACATTAAACCATGTTTACTGTTTCTGCAAGGCTTTTAGACTTGGGGAAGCACATATAAGAATGTTGTTCTATATCATTATTTGGTATATCAAGCCATCTAAAAGCACTGGATTGCACCTTTTCTTTACTCATACAAACAAGTTACAAAGATTTCAAACAACAGATCATTCTTTAGGTTAAGGACACACCACACAAGCACCAACATCATTTTATGATTCAAAGCTCACCATCCCACAAAACAAATGCTATTTCTTATCTCTGAGAAATAAGAAGGGGTTACACTGATCAATTTTAGTGTTCACTAAAACTCACAAATTCTAGTTATCTTTTTATTTTCAAGTTTTGGAGCAAAAGTGTACATTCAGCTGCTAGTGCCGCCTTCTCCCATCAGATCTTGGTCTAGCAACATTGTTTCTAAACATAATGCTTCTTTAGAGGGAGGAGCTAGTGAGATGCTGAAGCCTAAATTATATTAGTTAAGAAAAAAGTACCTTGAGCTGAAGTTCTTTTTACCATCTCGGCTTAGATACTTTACATGAAATTCCAAGCCCCCCCCATTTTCCTTTGGTTGTCTTTTTCATCATACCTCATTCTACCACAGAACCAAACAGCCTTCTTTGTGGGCGGAAGAAAGGCTGCCAGAGCAAAACAATTCCCAAGAGTCATGCCCCTGCTGCATCCTCAGAGTTAAAGACCAAAAGAAGACGTGGACTCTTCCGAGGGTTCAAAATAAAACTCCTTACCCAACCCCCATCAAGCCTAATACGTTCTGTTGAGGGTGCTTATCTAAACAAAACAAAAACCCCAATGAAATAGACTTTCCAAAAAACATCTGTTTCCAGCTTAGTATGTCAGTGCAGTGGCACAGCTGAGTCCCAGAGAGCCACAGGCCCCGATGCTCCAACCTGGCCGGCTGCTGCTCGGCCTCCGCTTCACATTCACAGAACCACTTCTTGTGCAAAACAAGCAGTCTACGTAGCAAGAATGCCCTCATCGTAGTCTAATAAAAACTGTAGAAAAAAATGCCAGAGAGCCACCTCTCCTCCCACTTCCTCTTTATCTGCAGAGTGAGGGCATCTGTGCATGGACAGGGTAGGCAAGCCTGACGTTGAGGGAGTCGTTGTGCTGAACCAGGGATGTCTGCTGGTAGTGGAGCACCAGCTCCTTCAGTGAGCTGTACAGGTTGTAGGGCTCTGCAAAGCCATAGCCCCGAGCAGTGCTGTAGATCACACAGTGCTTCACTTCTCCATCGGCACTGCAATGACACATCACAGGAAATCAGTAAGGCAGGGCAACAGATAAAGGGACACGAAAGGGCCAGAAGTTGAGAGCAACTGTTATGCAAAGAAGGAAAAGTAGAAGCATTTTGTTAATCAAAGCTTGTAAAATTATGTTCTCCTCACCCCCTACAGACTTGGCCACAGATGATCATACCTCATTCTACCACAGAACCAAACAGCCTTCTTTGTGGGCGGATATGTTAAATAATTAACCATATATATAAGCATTTACTTCTTTATTCTATTCTTTGATCTCTGTCTATCCTTATGGCAATACCTTGCAGTTTTGACTATGATAACTTTGTAGTTAAGTTTTGAAATCAAGAGGTATGAGTACTCCAACTATTTTCTACTTTTTCTTTTTTTTTTTTTTTTTTGAGTTGGAGTCTCACTCTGTCGCCCAGACTGGAGTGCAGTGGCCGCTCCCGGCCACCGCAGCCTCGACCTGCTGGGCTCCGGTGATCCTTCCGCCTCAGCCTTCCAAGTAGCCGGAATTACAGGCATGCGCTACCACGCCCGGCTGATTTTTTGATTTATTGTAGAGATGAGGTCTCGCTGCCCAGGCGGGTCTCGAACCCGCGGACTCATGCAATCCACTCACCTCAGCCTCCCAAAGGCGCGGGATTACAGGCTGAGCCACCGAGCCCGGCTCTATTTTCTACTTTTTCAAGAATGTTTTGACTATTCTAGGTGCCTTGCATTTTCTTATCAATTTTAGAATCACCTTAAATATCCCGCTGGAATTTTGATAAGATTATATTGAACATGTAGATCAATGTGGGAAGCACTGCCATCTTAACAATGTTAAGTCTTCTGATCCAAGAACACAAGATGTCTTTTCATTTATTTAGGTCTGTTTTAATTTTTTTCAATGATGTTTTGTAGTTTTTGCTGTACACCTCTTACATTTCTTTTGTTGTATTCCTAGGTATTTCATCATTTTGATACTATTGTAAATGGCACGTCTTCCTTTCATTTTTGGATTGTTTGTTGCTAGTATATAGAAATGCACCTCTGGGATTGTACCCTGCAACCTTGCTCATTTATTAGCTCTAATAGTTTACTTCTTCCTTTCCAGTCTGATTGTCTTCTATTTCTTTTTCTTGCCTAATTGCCCTGGCTAGAACCTCTTGTACAATGATGAACAGACATGGGTAGAGTGGACATCCTTGCCTTCTTCCTGATCTTTCAGGAAAGTATTCAGTCTTTCACCATTAAGTAGGCTATTAGCTGTACACTTTTCATTGATACCCTATATCTTATCAGGTTGAGGAAGTCCTCTACTATACCTAGCTTGTTCAGTGTTTTCTTTTTTAACATGAAAAGCGTATTGGATCTTGTCAAATGCTTTTTGTGCCCTCTACTGAGATAATCGTGTGATTTTTGTCCTTAATTCTATGAATATTATTATATTGACTGATTTTTCTTTCTTTTCCCCTGAGTTGGAGTCTCACTCTGTCGCCCAGACTGGAGTGCAGTGGCTGCTCCCGGCCACCGCAGCCTTGACCTGCTGGGCTCCAGCGATCCTTCCGCCTCAGCCTTCCAAGTCGCCGGAATTACAGGCATGCGCTATCACGCCCGGCTGATTTTTTGATTTATTGTAGAGATGAGGTCTCACTGCCCAGGCGGGTCTCGAACTCGCGGGCTCAGGCAATCCACTCACCTCAGCCTCCCAAAGGCACAGAATTACAGGCTGAGCCACTGAGCCCGGTTATTATATTGACTGATTTTTCTATGTTGAACTACCCTTACATTCATGGAATGAATTATCTCTATAAGAACCTGAAGTTGCTTTGCAAGTATTTTGTTGAAGATTTTTATGTCTATATTCAGGAGATCCACAGTTTTCTTTCTTGTGATGTTTTTGTCTGCTTTTGGTATAAGGGTAATACTACCCTCATGGAAAGAGGTTGAGAGTTCTCTCCTCTTCGATTTTTTGGGGAGAGTTTGTAAAGGATTGGTGTTAATTATTTTTTAAACATTTCGTAGAATTCACCAGTGAAGCCACCTGGGCCTTTTCCTTATGGGTAGTTTATTAATAATTCAATTTCTTTACTTGTTACACAGTTGACTCTTGAACAATGTAGGCGTTGGGGTGCTGATCTCTGCACATAGGACTTTTGACCCCTCAAAAAACTTAACTACTAGCCGGGCTCGGTGGCTCAGCCTGTAATCCCCGCGACTTTGGAAGGCTGAGGTGAGTGAATTGCCTGAGCCCGCGGGTTCGAGACCCACCTGGGCAGGCGAGACCTCGTCTCTACAATAAATAAAAAAATTAGCCGGGCGTGGTAGCACGTGCCTGTAATTCCGACTACTCGGAAGGCTGAGGCGGAAGGATCGCCGGAGCCCAGCAGGTCGAGGCTGCGGTGGCCGGGAGCAGCCACTGCACTCCAGTCTGGGCGACAGAGTGAGACTCCAACTCAAAAAGAAAAAGAAGCCTTAGCCATAACACAAACAGTTGATTAACACATCTTGCATGTTATATGAAATATATACTGTATTCTTACAATAAAGTATTAATCTAGAGAAAATGTTGAGAAAATGATAATGAAGAGAAAATATATTTACTATTCATTAAGTGGAAGTGAATCATCATTAAGGTCTGCATCCTCATCGTCCTCACACTGAGCAGGCGGAGGCAGAGGAGGAGGAGGAAGAGGCAACAACGGCAGTGGCACTGGTCTTGCTGTCTCAAGGTGGCAGAGGCAGAAGAAAATCCACATATAAGTGGACCTGCGCGGTTCAAACCCATGTTATGTTGTTCAAGGGCCAACTGTATAAGTCATCTAATTTGTTGGCAAACAACTGTTTATAGTATTCCCTTAGTATCTTTTTTATTTCTATAAAATTGACCCTTTCATCCAGATTTTAGTAATTTCTGTCTTTCTTGGTTTTTTTGGGGGGGGGAGAGCCAGTTTAGCTAGAGGTTGTCAATTTTGTTAACTGTTTTCAAAGAACCAACTTTTTGGTTTCATTGATTTTCTCAATTGTTTTCTGTTTCATTTACTTCAGTTCTAACCTCTATTATTCTCTTCATTCTGCTTGGTTGGTTTAGTTTGTTCTTTTTCTAGGTTCTTAAGGTGGAAGAAGGTTAAGTTGTTAACTTCAGATTATTATTTTTTATTATAGACATTTACAGTTATAAATTTACCTTTGAGCACTGCTTTAGATGTAGTCTGTCAGTTTTGATATGATGCAGTTACATTTCACTCATATCAGAGTATTTTTAAATTTCCCTTGTTTTCTTTTTTTTACTCATTGGTTAGTTAAGGGGTGTCAGTTATTTACTGTCCATATATTTGTGAATTTCCCAAATTTCCTTCTGTTTTGTGATTTCTAATTTCATATCATGTGGTTGTAGAACATACTTTGTATGATTTCAATCCCTTTAAATCTATTGAGACTTGTTTTATGGCCTATTGTCTATCCTGGATAATGTTTCATGTGTATTTCAGAAGAATGTGTATTCTGCTGGTTTTGAGCGGAGTGTTCTATGGATGTCTGTTAGGTCTAGTTTTTTACAGTGTTGTTCAAGTCTTCTATTTATTTGTTGACCTCCTGTCTAGTTGTTCTACCCCTAATCAAATGTCTTATTTTCTATAGCCAGAGTAGCTAACAAGTGGCAATCTTTTGTGATGCCAGCCTTTCTTGCTTTCAACCATCTTCAATATGAAGTTAGTTTTCACAGGCAAAGGAAATCTATACCACCATGTACTGGAGTCTGGCCAAGTCTGTTACTAAAGGAAAGAGAACAAGGCATACAGTTCTCCAAAATTCAAGGTGCTCCTTGTTTTCCAGGGATTAGCCCTGCTGGACAGTAACTGTAGCCAAGTCCGTAACTTACAGGTTGCCACTCAACGACCTGGGCGACAGTGAGGGATTGGGCTCATGCCTTCTTTCTTTTTGTTATTCTTAGAAGATCCCAGATACTGCATCCTTTCCTGTCATTTCCACTCAGTTAACTTGAATGGCCCACGTCAGAGAGAAATGAAATGTTGCATGTAGTTCCATCTTTGGATAACAGTACTCCAATGTGCTTTTAAACTCCTCCCACAATTTCTAGCCATAAGACATCTCATTTATCCTTTCAAGGTCCACCTCAAATACCTTTTTTACAAAACTTTCCAACCCTTTCTTTCTCCACTAGAATTATCACTTCTGCATGTGTACAGCCTACAAGTGATACCTACTTCACAGTGACTTGACTTTGGATATTTAATGAAATAAAGAAAGCCTGGTGCAATAGAAAAATGTGGGTTTTGAAACCAGATAAATGTGGATTCAAACTCTGACTCCATGACAGAAGTGAACCACTAAAGACAAGATGATCATGTAAAACACTATGCACTCTGCTAATATGCCCTTCATCCATCTTCTCCACCTTGCCCTCTGAGGGCACAATCACTTTGTCATCTTTGTTTGCCTTCTGCCATGTCCATCAGTAACATTATTATAATAATAACATTAGTAAATAACATTTACTTACTTACTATGTGCTAGCACTGTTAAAAGCATATTATTGGCCAAGCACAGTGGCTCATGTCTATAATCCCAACACTTTGGGAAGCTGAGGTGGATAATTGCTTGAGCCCAGGAGTTTGACACCAGCCTGGACATCATAGCAACTCCCATCCTGAGTCACTGGGAATATAGGCATGTACCAACACACCTGGCTAATTTTTTTATTTTTTTAATAGAGATGGGGTCTTGCTGTGTTGTACAGACTGGTCTTGAATTCCTGGCCTCAAGTGATCCTCCAGCCTCAGTCTCCCAAAGCGCTGGGATTACAGGCATAAGCCACCATGACTAGTCAGAATTTTATTTAATTTTAAAATATAGATAGAGGTTTTCCACCTGAAGTAAAAGCAATTCTATTTAATCAAGCCTTCCCTAATCTGACACTAAAGACCAAGTTAGACATATAGGAGAGTATTAAAGAATTAAGTGATTTTTTTTCAATTCAAGATCTCACATTACTTTTCACAGATACCCGAAATCCAGTAGCAACAATGAAGGGCCCAATCTGCTTACCATGTGAGTTAAAGCCCCAAGTTAATTTCAGACATCATTTCTCATAAAGCTGTTTTCTTTGTACAAATACGAATAGACCCAAGCCATGGGTCCTCATTGTTGCACTTTAACTAATTTATTTATTTATTTATTTATTTTTTGAGTTGGAGTCTCACTCTGTCGCCCAGACTGGAGTGCAGTGGCCGCTCCCGGCCACCGCAGCCTCAACCTGCTGGGCTCCGGTGATCCTTCCACCTCAGCCTTCCAAGTAGCTGGAATTACAGGTGCGCGCTACCACGCCCAGCTGATTTTTTGATTTATTGTAGAGATGAGGTCTTGCTGCCCAGGCAGATCTTGAACTCGCGCACTTTAACTAATGTAATCTGAATTTCAAGGGGTTGATTTTATGCTGATCAATGCAAAATAGTTCAAGAGGTTATGCTCTCAGAGAAGACTTACACCACAGAACAAGCATAGCATCCTTTCTTGCTACTCTCACGAATTAAGAATGCACCATCAGGTTTCCCATAAAGCAAGTCCTCTGCTTGTACTCGATTGATGTCCTCAACAAACCAGGTTTTCTCATCATAATGGGGCAGATTTTCATCTTCCTCATTGAGAAAATAGTTCCTAAAAATTAAATGTTAATATATTATTCTGACAATCAGGTTACTTACATCTAAAACAAATTCATACATAAAATACTCTTCCAAATCTTGAACCACAAAAATGACAAAAGCAAAATTGCAATTAGTTGAATTTTTTGTTTTTTTAACAACGTCATTACCTGCTATGATGCAGAAAGCACATCATTCACACGTCTTATCCAATAAGGTGAAACATGACCATCTTAAAACAGTGCTTATGCATCCTGATAACTGGGAAGGCAAGTCTTTGAACGCAAGTGCCTATAAGGTACTCTTCTGGCAATTCAATTCAAAAGGGATTCAATTCAAAGTTCTTGATTTAGCATTATAAATAAGGCCCTTGTCTCATATTGAGAACAAAGCCCTCTGACAGAAAGGTATAGAGAGAACTTACTCATCAGCATCCTCATTCTTAATTCCCAGCCAGGCATTCAGGCGCTTCTGTCTCACTCCTTTGTGATTGAGCCATCTGCCAGAAGGAAGACACTAATGTCAGTATCTATGCTAACTGCCTGGACAAAGTAGGCATGTCTGAACCAACCAAACCCCCAGGGTCCGAAAACCTCTTATTTTTCACAGTACCACAGAGAAAGGATAAAGATTTCCCTAAATTAGTCTCTCTCCTACTTTCCTTCAACTGATAAAATGATGAATTAATCTTTCCTAGAAAAAGGCAGAAACACAGAGGACTACTTGAAGTTAGGCACTTCTCTTTTCATTTTTCTTTTCTGGAAGGTTATGCTATCACACAGCAAACACACACTTGCACTCACACACAGTGGGACATTTGTTTCTGAAATCATTAGTTAGGAAAGCATGGTGTCACATTTATAATCTCCACTAAGCCTGAAGACCCAATTCTTATGTGGCCTACTGAACTGAGTTTAAAATTCTAACCAGAAATTTCAAGACCTATTTTTGCACCTAAGTCAGTCACAAGAAATTCAGGGTAGCCATCTGAGTATTAATATGAGTATACTTCATTACCAAGCAAATCACAGTATCTTCAAATATACCAACATTTTAGATGTGAAATGATGTAATTATCACATTTCAGTCCTTTCAGATGGGCAGTAATCTAAAACTGGAGTGCAGTATAAAAAAACCTTCATCTGGCTGGGCACAGTGGCTCACGCCTATAATACCACACTTTGGGAGGCGGAGGTTGAAAGGATTGCCTGAGCCCAGGGATTCGAGACCAGCCTGGACAACTTGGCAAGAGCTCATCTCTACAATAAATCAAAAAATTAGTAAGGCGTGGTGGCGCACACCTGTAGTTCCAGCAACCTGGAAGACTGAGGCAGAAGGATCACCTGAGCCCAGCAGGCTGAGGCTGCGGTGGACATGAGCGTGGCACTACACTCCAGCCTGGGCAACAGAGTGAGACTCTGACTCAAAAAACAAAACAAGCAAAATCTTTCACTCATCATCACCCCCATCCAAGACTCTTGATCATTCAGGACTCATAAATATCATCTCCACAGAGAGAACTACCCTAATTGTCTAACCTAAGGCAGTCTCCAATTACCTCAAATCAAATAAGGAAACGTCTACACATTACCTTATTTTATCTTCATAGCACTTAGCTAAAATTTATTATTTTATATTTTCACTTGCATGTGTTTGTCTCCCCCCACTAAAATGTAAGCTGCTTTAAAGAAAGGGGTCTAAGCCGGGCTCAGTGGCTCAGCCTGTAATCCTGCGCCTTTGGGAGGCTGAGGGGAGTGGATTGCCTGAGCCCGCTGGTTCGAGACCCGCCTGGGCAGTGAGACCTCATCGCTACAATAAATCAAAAAATCAGCTGGGCATGGTAGCGCATGCCTATAATTCCTGTGACTTGGAAGGCTGAGGCGGAAGGATCGCTGGAGCCCAGCAGGTGGAGGCTGCGGTGGCCGGGAGCGGCCACTGCATTCCAGTCTGGGCGACAGAGTGAGACTCCAACTCAAAAAAAAAAAGAAAAGAAAGAAAGAAAGGGGTCTGTCCTGTTTATGGGTATAGGGCCAATAAGTAAAACAGGACAAGCAAACAGATATTCAATAGTCAGTAAACATTTACCAGCGAGCTGCTTTTATCAAAACTGTCACAACCCCAAGATCACCTTGTCTCTCTTTCGGACCTCAAATACACTAGATAACTTGGCATCACACCTACTTTTCAAGTTCTGTTAGACAAACTTTGCAGTGTTTCTCAATTAGATCTGCCCCTCAGTTAGCCTGGATTTCTTTTTTTTATGCTTAATAAAACTGGAAAATAGATAATATATGACCTTACTAGAACTGATTAACAAATCCCCTCCCACACCATCACTTCTCTTATAAGAATGTCCAGATATCGCCTCTAAACATTCTTATTACCAAAAGTTTTCTATTCTCAAGGAAATTGACCTTATTTTTATTACAGAGACAAGCATACTGGGTAAAAGGCTTGAACTGAGTAAACTGCACCACATTTTCTCTTGGATTTCCATTTTCTTTTAACCACCAGTCTCTTTAAACTGAGCCTCCCTTTCTGCCACATGAAATATTAGGAACTTAGAAAAGTCCATGAAAAAAAGAAGAAATGTTTTTAGGCTATCCTCCATTTATCATGGTGCTTATGTCCCAACACAGGCAGCTTTACTAATTTCCCAGACATCCATCTGAAAGACTATTATATAGTTCTGAGTCCTTAAATACCTATTAAGAGTGCCAGGAATGGACCGTCTTTTTAAAGTCATTTTAAAAAAGCTCAAATAACTCTAGTAAATACGTCAATTCATATTTAACTTACTGTTATTAAATACTGCCTCGATCACAGGTAAAGGCAGTACATTCTACAGGAAAAATCTAAGGCAAAGCATCAAAAAACCTAACATTCAGTTCTGATCCTGTTACTAACTGTGTGGTCTTAGGCCTGCATCTCTTTGTGCCTCGGTCATTTCTTCTTAAAAAAAGAAAAGAAAAGAAAAACAGGGAAAATACTACTCCCATAGACTGATTGAAATTATCTTAAGAAAGAAAAGAGAGAAAAAATAACTGGTGTTGGCATATCCTTTCCTACCCCAAACTCAGCAAGTGAAGGAAAAAATATGTATATATAGTATCCTTTCTAAAGATCGAATTGGTTTTTACAACCTAACTACCACACTTTAAGAGGAAAAGAGGCTGTGTTTCAGTCTAAGACAAGAGGATTAAGCTGGGAAGTCTATGAGAGAAACGAACGGGAAAAAACACTGTAAAGGTGAAGCAGTAGTCCTGGAAAAGCGTTCAAGCTTGCCTAGAGCCTGGCTGAAGGGTGAAATGAACGACAGCAAAGGGTGCCTCATGCATAAGGCATCCCGGATGGAGGATGAGAAAGTTTTAAGACGAAAAGTCTACAGGTGGCCAGTGAGGTGATTGCTGTGAAGGGCACCTCTGAACTTTCTGAAATGGCACTGTTTAACCAGCTAGCAGGACCCAATGATTAGGAGCAGAGGAAGCACCCAATAGTAGCAGTCAGGAGGAAGGGACAAAGGACCCTGCACTTCTCTAATTTCCTCACACTACTTCAGGATGACATTTTTGTATGACCCACATAACCAGGTAGGTAGAAGCTTAGAATAAAGTAATTTTAATTAAAAGAAAAAGAGTAACGCAACTTGTCTTTCACTCAGTTTTGTGACATATATAACACTTCAAAAAGAAAAATCACTTCTAAAGATTTAGTTATAAGAAATATATTAAAGAATGAGTCGTTACTTTAAAAAACCCAGACCCTCACTGCTAATGTAAATGTAAAAGAGTGCAACCATTATGCAAAACAGGCTGGGCAGTTCCTCAAATAGTTAACTATGGAATTACCATATGATCCAGGAATTTTACTCCTCAGTATATACTGAAAAGAGTTGAAAACATCGTCCATACAAAAACTTGTACATGAATGTTCACAGCAGCATTACTGATAATAGCCAAAAGGGAAAAAACCACCCCATGTCCATCAACTGATGTTGGTTAAACAAAATGTGGTATTATCGATACAATGGATTACTATTAGCCTTGATAAGGAATGAAGTACTGATACATGTAACAACAGGGACAAACCTTGGCAAAATAAGAAGTGAAAGGAGTCAGTCACAAAAGACTACAAATTAGAGATATATTTTGAGACTGCATATTATATTATCCCATTCACATGAAATGTTCAGAATAGACAAATCCACAGAGATAGACAGTGGCTGTTTAGTGGTTATTTAGGATGGGGTATGATAGACATAATAGGTAAAGAATGCAGAGTTTCTGTTTTAAGGTGATAAATATGTTTTAAAATATGTGGTGATGATTGCAAATACCTGTGAACATACTATAAAAACTAAATTATACTATTTATTTATTTATTTATTTATTTTGAGTCAGGGTCTCACTCTGTCGCCCAGGGTGGAGTGCAGGGGCATAATCATGATGACCACAGTTCACAGCAGTCTCAACCTCCTGGGTTTAGGTAATCCTTCCACCTCAGCATCCCAAGTAGCTGGGACTACAGGTACTCACCACCATACCCAGCTCATTTTTTTTTTCTTTGTAGAGATGAGGTTTCCCTATGTTGCCCAGGCTGGTCTTGAACTTCTGGGCTCAAGCAGTCCATCTGCCTCGGACTGCCAAAGTGCTTGAATCACAAGCAAGAGCCACCACACCCAGCCTAAATTATACACTCTGCGTAGATAAATTGTATGAGATGTAAACTGTATCTCAATGAAGTCATTAAAAAAAAAACAGAACATATCACCCTCCACGGGAGGGTGCAAGCTGCAAGCTTCTCTAGTACATATTATTCAAAACTCATAATTGGCTGGACACAGTGGCTCACGCTTGTAATCCCAGCAATTTAGGAGGCTGAAGCGGGAGAACTGCTTGAGACTAGGAGTTCGAAACTAGCCTGGTCAACATTGCGACACCTCATCTCTATAAAAAATTGGCCAGTCTCCCAACTACTCGGGAGACCGAGGTAGGATTTTCTGAGCCCAAGAGGACAAGGCTGCAGTAAGCCAGGATCACGCCACTACATTCCAGCCTGGATGACAGAGTGAGACCTCGACTCAAACAAACAAACAAACTCAACTCGTTAATATACTTAGATTGTTATGGCAAGTTATGCTTTATTTTAAATTTACAAATTTAAATTTATGAATATAGTAGTCCCTCCTTATCCATGGGAGATACGTTCCCAGATCCCCAATGGATGCCTGAAATCACAGACAGTATAGAGTCCTATATTTACTATGTTTTTCCTACATATACATACCTATGAAAAAGTGTAATTCATGAACTAGGCACAGTAAGAGATTAACAACAGTAGCTAATAATTAAATAGAATATTATACTGTAATAAAAGTTATGTGAGTGTGGTCTTTCTCTCATAATATCTTTTTATTTTATTTTATTTTGAGTTGGAGTCTCACTGTCATCCAGACTAGAGTGCAGTGGCACACTTCCAGCCACCGCAATCTCGACCTGCTGGGCTCCAGCGATCCTTCCGCCTCAGCCTTCCAAGTAACCGGAACTACAGGCACGTGCTACCACACTTGGCTAATTTTTGATTTACTGTAGAGATGAAGTCTCGCCAAGTTGCTCAGGTGGGTCTCAAACCTGCAGGCTCAGGCAATCCACTTGTCTTGGCTTCCCAAAGTGCTGGGATTACAGGTTGAGCCACTGAGCCCAGTCCAAAATATCTTATTTTATCTATTTTTGCACTGTAGTTGACAGGGAATAATTGAAACTGTGGAAAGCAAACCACATATAAGGGGCAACTACTGTACCAAAAAAAAAAAAAAATGGCAATCATGAAAATTAACCTTAAATTCATAATAAAAAAGAATTGCACATTAACAATCGAATTTCTTTTTTTGAAAGGGAATTTAAAGAATTTTTATACCTAAGAAATTTTTTAATGTATATTGAGTTATAATACAAATTGTTATATAAACCCATGTAACCCCACTCGGATCAAGATTCAGAATGTTTCCAGGACCCCACAAGCCTCCTTATGCCATTTTCCCATAAATTTTCCCACCATAAATAATTACTATTTTTTTTTTTTTTTTTTTTGAGTTGGAGTCTCACTCTGTCGCCCAGACTGGAGTGCAGTGGCCGCTCCCGGCCACCGCAACCTCGGCCTGCTGGGCTCCGGCGATCCTTCCGCCTCAGCCTTCCGAGTAGCCGGAATTACAGGCATGCGTCACCATGCCCAGCTGATTTTTTTATTTATTGTAGAGATGAGGTCTCGCTGCCCAGGCGGGTCTCGAACCCGCTGGCTCAGACAATTCATTCACCTCAGCCTCCCAAAGGCGCGGGATTACAGGCTGAGCCACCGAGCCCGGCATAATTACTATTTTTAACTCTATCATCATAGATAGGTGTTACTCATTCCTGAGCTTCAAGTAAATGGAACATAAAGTAGAAATTTTTTATGCTCTATTTAAGAAATGAAATTCTGTATTTAAAAATTCAGGAATACCAGTAATAGTACATCAAGATATTAGCAGAGAATCTCATAAAATCCTGTGAACTGTGCAGGGGCAAGTCAGGGAAAGTCCACACCCAAAGAGGGGTCAATGAACTAATGACAATCTTAGTTGGGTACTGCAGAATTTCAACCTGTTCCAACTTTAAAACAGTGTAAAGCCGGGCTTGGTGGCTCAGCCTGTAATCCTGCGCCTTTGGGAGCGGGTTCGAGATCCGCCTGGGCAGCGAGACCTCATCTCTACAATAAATCAAAAATCAGCCGGGCATGGTAGCGCATGCCTGTAATTCCGGTGACTTTGAAGGCTGAGGCGGAAGGATCGCCAGAGCCCAGCAGGTCGAGGCTGCGGTGACCGGGAGCGGCCACTGCACTTCAGTCTGGGCAACAGAGTGAGACTCCAACTCAAAAAAAAGAAAAAAAAAAATCAGTGTGAAAAAAGGACCATGCTCAGTATCATGCAGCAACACTAATATGCAGCACATACTTTACAACCAGTCTTCAGCACTAACAATACAAACTTCATCATTAGAACAGGTCAAGTCTACCAAGCCAAAGAGACAATTCCGTGTTAGATACATCAAGGTATGGACTATGGGACACTGACTATCCTCTCTAAAGAAACCTTTCCAGCTGGGCTTGGTGGCTCAGCCTGTAATCCCGCGCCTTTGGGAGGCTGAGGTGAGTGGACTGCCTGAGCCTGCGGGTTCGAGACCCGCCTGGGCAGGTAAGACCTCATCTCTACAATAAATCAAAAATTATCCGGGCACGGTGGCCGGAAGCGGCCACTGCACTCCAGTCTGGGCGACAGAGTGAGACTCCAACTCAAAAAAAAAAAAACCTTTCCAAAAGAGGTAATGGCTGCCTGTATCTCCCTACATTTACAAGTTGTCCTTACTTGTATGTCATGGCTTTGTCATCCTTGATATTATTTAAACTCTCTTTTATATTTAGTTTACACAAAGCATAAAGGAATTTCCAAACTTTGGTCTGCCACATGCTATGATCTGAATGTCAGTATGTTGAAATCCTAACCCCCAAGGTGATAGTATTATGAAGTGAAGATTTTGGAAGGTGATTAGGTCATGGAAGCAGAGCCCCCATGAATGAGATTAGTGCCCTTATAAAAAAGACCTCACAGAGATCCTTAGCTCTTTCCACCATGTGAGGACACAGCCAGAAAGCACCATCTGTGAACCAGAAAGCAAGCTCTCACCAGATACTGAATCTGCCAGTGCCCTTGATCTTGGACTTCACTGCCCCCAGTCCTGTAAGCTACCCAGTTTATAGTATTTTGTTATAGCAGCCTGAATAGACTAAGACATTACACTTTTCCCCTTTGGGATGGTATATATCCTAATATCTTTAGTGTTTTTTAGGACAAAGAAATACTTCCATTCATTCCTTTGGTCTATGGCAAAGCCTTGGGCCTTTCTTCACCTTCATGATGTGACTAGAACCACATGAGCATTCCAGGAGCAGACACAACCTGCTTTTAGATAAGGGCACCTCCTTACCTTATTTATTAAGCTCCTCTATATGCTATGTACACTAGGTTGGACGTTTTTTGGCCACAGTAGCAAACTGAAATGGTTTCTTGAGAGGGGTGTTATTAAAAACTACGCAGCATAGTGTAGTTGTAATTGGTTTTTTTTTTTTCCAGTTGGAGTCTCACTCTGTCACCCAGACTGGAGTGCAGTGGCAGCTCCTGGCCACCGCAACCTCGATCTGCTGGGGTCCGACGATCTTTCTGCCTCAGCCTTCCAAGTAGCCGGAATTACAGGCATGTGTTATCACGCCCGGCTGATTTTTTTCATTTATTGTAGAGATGCGGTCTCGCTGCCCAGGTGGGTCTTGAACCCATAGGCTCGGGCAATCCACTCACCTCAGCCTCCCAAAGGCGTGGGATTACAGGCTGAGCCACTGAGCCCGGCTTGTAATTGTTTACCATAAAAAGTATTACCTTAAATTTTCTTCTTTTGAAACTCATCTGTCACTGTTCCAATCTCTAGGCCTATATTTTATCCTCTCCCCCTTTCTCACACAAAGAACCCTATAGTCTATATAAAACCCAGTCAGAGGTCTTCTCCTTCCAGTTGTTTGAATCAAATGGTGTCACATGCATGAAGGTCACCTATAAAGACAAACCCAGAACTAAGCCCAATATACAGTATTTTCCTTTCTCATGAATTCTTTCCTTTTCTGAAGCAGTCATTTGTCCTTCTAAAAGTCTAATCCACACATTTTATCCTGATACTATATCTTTCCATCTATATTTGGATAATAACCACATTACGCTTATATTTGGCTAAATCATATAGCTTTCCCTAATATTAAAGAAGCATACTGGCCGGGCTCGGTGGCTCAGCCTCTAATCCCAGCACTTTGGGAGGCTGAGGCAAGTGGATTGCCTGAGCCCGCGGGTTCGAGATCCACCCAGGCAACTTGGCGAGACCTTGTCTCTACAATAAATCAAAAATTAGTTGGGCGTGGTAGCACGTGCCTATAGTTCTGGCTAATTGGAAAGCTGAGGCAGAAGGATCGCCAGAGCCCAGTAGGTTGATACTACGGTGGTCAGGAGCATGCCACTGCACTTTAGTCTGGGTAACAAAGTGAGACTCCAACTCAAAAAAAAAATGTACTTCTCTACTCAGTTAAATTATCTCAAGTGCCTGCTATAGGTACACTTCTGTTACTTAAATACAGAATTTCATTTCTTAAATATAAAATCCATTAAGAAATGGTTCTTAGCCAGGCTCGGTGGCTCAGCCTGTAATCCCGCGCCTTTGGGAGGCTGAGGTGAGTGGATTGCCTGAGCCCGCAGATTCGAAACCCGCCTGGGCAACTTGGCGAGACCTCATCTCTACAATAAATCAAAAATCAGCCAGGCGTGGTAGTGCATGCCTGTAATTCCGGCTACTCGGTAGGCTGAGGCAGAAGGATCGTCGGAGCCCAGCAGGTCAAGGCTGCAGTGGCCGGAAGCATCCACTGCACTCCAGTCTGTATGACAGCGTGAGACTCCGACTCAAAAAAAAAAAAAAAAAAAAGAAATGGTTCTGTGTACTTCTTTATAGGCCACCACTATTAGTGTCCTTCTCTGTGCCTCTGAGGGGTAATTTCTATTTCTGTGGTTCTACCATGTAAATAAAGATTCTGGTTTCTGTGTTTTAGGTAAACAGTAATCTATACTTTTTAAGGCATATCACTTTGTTCATGCCACAGCCAGCCTCTGAGATTTCCAAGGCAAATAAATCAGAATCCTACACTCTGGTTTACCCTCACACTGACTTCAGATAAGCTCTGGTAACCTCTGCAATTAACAGAGCTGCTTTCCTAAGTCCTTACCATCTATCTCATTGGGCAGTTCTCTATCACAAATCTCTTCTTCCACCTTTAACATCTTTAATGCCAGTGGTAATCAAGTGCTAGTGTCTTCCTCCCCATGAAGTCCCAGACTACTTACACAAGGTGCTGATCTCGGATCTTGCGCAGCTGGATCAGGTCGGGTTTGATACTATTCATCTTTTTGTCTATTTCTCGGTTGTCCAAAGCTTGTTTCTTCAAATCCTGCTCTAGACGCATTTTGCTATCATGAATCTCTCCCAGACGTGATTTCAATTTATCATAATTCATCATAATTCTGTAAAAATATATGACATGTTAAGGCTAAAATAGCTACCAAGTAGAAAGATCCTATAGTATAAGCATGATCCTAATATTTTATTTTCTTTTATCTTATTTTATTTTTTTGAGTTGGTATCTCACTCTGTCACCCAGGCTGGACAATCATGGCTCACTGTAGCGAGGCACAATCACAAGGCACAATCACGGCTCACTGTAGCGTCCACCTGAGCTCAGGCATTCATTCTGCCTCAGCATTACGAGTAGCTGGGACCACAGGCATGCGTCACCACATCTGGCTCATTTTAAAATTTTTTTTAGAGACAAGGCCTCACTATGTTGCCCAGGCTGGTCTTGAACTCCTGGGCTCAAGCAATCCTTCCGTGTTGTTCTCCCAGGATGCTGGGATTATAGGTGTGAGCCACTAGGCCTGGCCTAACATCCTAAGTGTGGTGAACATCTGTTGTTTCTTCCTGGCCCATATCCATTCCCATTCTTCAGGTACTAACACCCTGATGTTACTTGTAGGTAACGGTTCTTTGCCCTATCTCAGATCCAGGGGCAGAAACACACATGGCCCAAACTGGCCAATAAGAGTATTACATTCCATCCCATTCCTACCCTCAGGCCACAGAAACTGGTTCAGAAATGGTAATAAGACCCAAACTGATCCAATGAGAGTCAATTCTATGGCTCTAGCTAAAGCTATTATAAAAAGAGATTGCTAAGTTATGCATATGCAATTCTAGGACTCCCAGCAGCTATACTGCCACCTCACAGAGAAAGTCTACCTGAATAAAGCCAACCCAGAGAAAAACTGAGCCAATAGACAGTGTGAAAGAGAATCCCAATGACTTTATTTGGACCCTGGATCCAGCCATGACTGAACAAGTAAAGCTTTATGTATGATATTCAAGAAGTAACACAGCACAGCAGTTAAGAGCAATGGCTTTGCTGTTAGCCTACCTAAGTTTGAATCTCTGCCCTATCATTTACTGTAGGGATGTGGAAAACTATTTAACTTCTTGCTGCCTTCATTTTCTCATATGTTTAAAATGGCTACCCACAGCAGCACCTACTTCACTGGACTACTGCATGAATTAAATATGGTAATACATGTAAAAGGACTAGAACATCACCTGACACATATTGGTAAACACTCAATTGATGATGTCTATAAGCTTTTCTAACACACAGTTTTGCTATCCTCTGAACTCTGTGGTAACAACTGTCCATGTTATTCCTTTGTCACTCAGTATGTGACTTTGTATTACTATTAAAACTTCATCATGCCACTTTACCTCCCTCTGTAACTAGACTACAAGTCCTTTTATATTTCTTCATTATTATTAATAATAATTACCATTTACTGAAAGCCCATCACGTGCCAAGACATACATTAGTTAAATTCTCATCACATTCCAACAAGATATTATCCGCAATTTATGGAGGAGAAAACAGACTCAGAAAGGTTAAATAACTCACCAAGGGTACACACCTAGTAAATGGCCAATACAGAATTCAAGCCCATGGTTTTAAACATTAGGCTATACTGTGTCACAGCACTTAGCTCTATATTCATGAACACAAGAGTACACGAGCACTGTGGTGCCCATGTGAGAAATAATTTTGCTTTTCCATGGCATATTATTTATTTATTATTCACTTTTCCACTCCTTTCCACTCCTCAACCCACTATTATCTAGGTTAATCTCCAATACTCTACTAAATTTGCTTTGATAAAGGTTCTTTTAGCTGCCAATCCCAATACTTCTCATGCCACTCATTCTCTCTGTGTAATCTCATTCTTAGCATCTACCATCTACCATTAGAAGCCTCTCAAATCCTTTTATTTCCCTTGAGTTGGAGTCTCACTTCGTCACCCAGACTGGAGTGCAGTGGCACACTCCCGGCCACCGCAGCCTCGACCCGCTGGACTCCGGCAATCCTTCCGCCTCAGCCTTCCAAGTAGCTGGAACTACAGGTACATGCTACCACGCCCGGCTCATTTTTTTTATTTATTGTAGGAGATGAGGTCTCTTTTTTTGTGGGTTGGAGTCTCACTCTGTCGCCCAGACTGGAGTGCAGTGGCCGCTCCCGGCCACCGCAGCCTCGACCCACTGGGTTCCAGCGATCCTTCCGCCTCAGCCTTCCAAGTAGCTGGAATTACAGGCATGCGCTACCACACCCTGCTGACTTTTTGATTTATTGTAGAGATGAGGTCTTGCTGCCCAGGCAGGTCTCGAACCCGCGGGCTCAGGCAATCCACTCACAGCCTCGCCAAGTTGCCCAGGCGGGTCTCAAACCCACGGGCTCCCAAAGCACGGGATTACAGGCTGAGCCACCAAGCCCGGCTATCCAAATTCTTTTTTATTCTTTTTTAACGTCTAAATCCAAATAATCAGCTGCCTGCCTCCCTAAGAGCTCCATTTGGGTTCTGACAGGAATCCCAAACTCATGGGTTCTAACCCTGAACTTTCCTCATGTATTTACTATTTTGTTGAATAACATCATTCCCCAGTTACTCACACTCAAAATCTAGAAATAATCTGTGACTTCTCCCACATCTACCATATCCACTCAGGTACAAAGTCCTCAGCATTTCTATTAACTCCCCCTTCTTTTCTGCCATTGCTCTAGTCCAGGCTCATACTATTTTAACCTGATGAGCACAACCACTGCAGCCACCTGCAAATCAGGCTGGTCTTCTAGCCTACAGCCTTGTTCCAATTCAATTTATTCTCAGACTGTGGCCAAAGGTTGATTTTCAGCTCAAAATGTACCTATTTTGTACTCCCAAGCACTGCAATAGGTAACAAGGCTATTGAGAAAATAAACCCCAATACCTACTCTCAACAAGCTTGCAGTTAAGTGGGAACAGCATTCAGTAGATGTGATACTAGGGGACAGAACCCAATACTGTAGGGATGCAGTAAAAGTACCTAGACTAGTCTAGGGAATCAGAGAAGAGTTTCTGGGAAAAGTATGTTTAACCTGAGTCCTAAAAGATGAGCAGGAGTTAATCTGAGGGGATAAAGAGCACAGAAGAGGGAAAGTTCAATTTGGTGCCATTAGTGGGAACAGCAAGTGGTTCCAATGGCAGGACTGTGCAGTTTGAAGGTGTAAAAGTAGACAAGACAGGAATTACTGGGGAAGAAAGTAAGTCTTGTCTTACTGATGTCCTTGGAGGTATTAAGTAGATTTACCGTTCAATCTCTTTTTCATTCCCCTCTCTGCGAAATCGTTCAATATATTCTTTGCTATGTTTTTCTTGTGTGTGACATTGCTCCTCAAATATTTTAATTGTTTCATTAAAAGCTTCAATTGCAGTTCTCTTCATCTGTATTTCCTAGAGGAGAGAAAAAGAAAAGACAAAGTCTTCATAATCTTTATTTTTTGTAATTTTGGTCTTAAAACAAACTTTATAATTCTAGTTAAAATCCCACACAATACCTAATTAGGATAGTTAAAACAAGACCCGGCCAGGCTTGGTGGCTCAGCCTGTAATCCCAGCACTTTGGGAGGCCAAGGCGAGTAGACTGACTGAACCCGCAGGTTTGAGACCAGCCCGGGCAACTCGTCTCTACAATAAAATAAAAAATTAGCCAAGCATAGTAGCACGCGCCTGTAGTTCCAACTACGCGGAAGGATCGTCGGAGCTCAGTAGGTCAACGCTGGGGTGGCCATGAGTGTGCCACTGCACTCCAGTCTGGGAGACAGAGTGAGACTCCAACTCAAAAAAAAAACAAGACCCTTTATTCAACTCCTATCCTATTATTTGTATGTAGAATATATAATTCAAACTATAAAGGAATAAAGGAAAAAGAACCATTATCTAAAATATAGCTGAGAACCACAGAAAGATCTCTGAGCTACCAAGAGAGATTAACCCTGAACACCTTGAAGACAAAAGTCAAGTTCTGACTTTGCATCTATTATTGTAGCACTAACCCGCCCCCCCAGGTGTTGAAGGAGTGAATGGATAGAGCCAAACAGTCCATGTACCAAATGGCAAAGGCTTATTCCCAGAAAAGCCCTAGACAGTCTATTTATTCTTGCTCTCATTTCTAAAGTTTGTGCTTAGTTTTCCAGATTCATCAGTAGATTGAGTTGATTAAGAAGCAGAAAATGAGGCTGGGCACAGTGGCTCATGTATGTAATGCCAGCACTTTGGGAGGCCAAGGCAGGAGGATTGTTTGAGCCCAGGAGTTCAAGATCAGCCTGGGTAACAAAGCGAGATCCCATCTCTACAAAAACTCAAAAAATTAGCCAGCTACTTGGGAAGTGAAAGCAGAACAATTGTCTAAGCCTGGGAGATCAAGGCTGTGGTGAGCCATGATTGTGCCACTCCCCTCCACCCTGGGTGACAAAGTGAGACCCCGAATCAAAAAATAAAAAATAATAAAAAAAAGAAGTAAAAAACGATAACAGAGAGAGAAGTTGTCTCCAAAAAATAAAAAATTTTTAAAAGTAAGAAGAACCTGTAATCCCAGCACTTTGGGAGGTAGAGGTGAGAGGACTGCCTGAGCTCGGGAGTCCGAGACCAACCTGAGCAACATGGTGAGACCTCGTCTCTACAAAATCAAAAAATTAGCTGGGCATGGTGATGCATGGTTCCAGTTCCAGTTACTTGGAAGGCTGAGGCAGAAGGTTCCAGTTACTTGGAAGGCTAAGGCAGAAGGATCAACTGAGCCCAGTAGGTTGAGGCTGGAGTGGTCTTGAGCATGCCACTGCACTCCAGCCTGGGTGACAGAGTGAGACCCTGACACAAAACAACAACAACAACAACAACAAAAAACTAAGAAGCAGCAGAAAATGAAAAGGGGAAGAATTGCTGCTAAAGTCAGATGCACTAAGAAGAATGAGATTAAAAACTCTACAAAACAGACTTAGTAACTCTAAAAGCCCAGTAGGCTGAGCCATTTAGCATTAGAATTTTACACAATGGTCCTACACAGTCCTACACATTTTGATGAGCTTTGCCTTTGATGATATTAGTAGACTTTAGTATCTGAATTATGATTCCCCTAAAATCTTCAGAGGTTAAATTTTGTTCAGTTTACTTTTTGGGAGGGCAACAAATATGCACAAAGGTCTAGAAAGATTGCTATCCTGGATGTTTACAATTCTGAAAGTTTTAATGCTTGTGGCATAATTCCTCAATTATTCAGCACTTAAGTTTTTTGCTTGTTTTGTTGGTCAGTTAGGTTTTTTAGCCATGTTGCCCAGGCTGTACTCAAACTCCCAGCCTCAAGCAATCCTCCTGCCTCAGCCTCTCAAGCATCTGGGACTATAGGTATATACCATGATACTAGGCTTCAGTATTTATGAATTTCAATGAGTGTTTTTCAGTAATCCACTATACAGAAAGTACCATCTGGTAATAAAGAGATTTGTAAAACAGAGCCTGCCCTCCAGGAAACAGAATATACAGGTGGAATATATTTCTGAACTCTAATCAGGTTTGGTTTCATGACATGGTAAAAGCAACCAAGTAAGAGTAATTATTTATTGCTTTATAGGAGGTTTCACAGCGGAGATAATGTTTAAGCTAGGTATTAAAGAACTGAGATAAGCTGGGCTCAGTGGCTCAGCCTGTAATCCCGTGCCTTTGGGAGGCTGAGGTGAGTGGATTGCCTGAGCCTGAGAGTTCGAGACCCGCCTGGGCAACTTGGCGAGACCTCATCTCTACAATAAATCAAAAAATTAGCCAGGCGTGGTAGCGCGCGCCTGTCGTTCCAGCTACTTGGAAGGTTGAGGCGGAAGGATCGCTGGAGCCCAGCAGGTCGAGGCTGCGGTGGCCGGGAGCGGCCACTGCACTCCAGTCTGGGCGACTGAGTGTGACTCCAACTCAAAAAATAAAAAAAAATAAAGAACGGAGATAGAAGAAGAAAATGCAGTATTGCACAAAGAAGGTATGGTACAGTGTATACGTAAAACAACAAGGCATGTTCAGGCATCAGCAATTATTCAGTAGGACTGGAACATAAGAGAATTAGCAGATGAGGGAGGCTAGAACCTTGTGATGGTTCATATAGTTGAGGTTATACCATATGTAATTCAGATAATACTGGAATGCCTACATCTAAATATCTTGATACAAACTCTACAACTCAAATTATTGTGGAGGATGTCTTGGTTCCCTTGCAAAGTTAAGAATTACCTATGGGCCAGGCTCGGTGGCTCAGCCTGTAATCCCGTGCTTTGGGAGGCTGAGGTGAGTGAATTGCCTTACCCCGTGGGTTTGAGACCCGCCCGGGCAACCTGGCAAGACTTCATCTCTACAATAAATCAAAAATTAACCGGATGTGGTAGTGCGCGCCTGTAGTTCCGGCTACTTGGAAGGCTGAGGTGGAAGGATCGACGGAGCCCAATGGTCAAGGCTGCGGTGGCTGGGAGCGGCCACTGCACTCCAGTCTGGGTGACAGAGTGAGACTCCAACTCAAAAAAAAAAAAAAAAGAATTACCTATGAAGTTTTGGCCCTGGATCTTCAAAGAAAACACAAATAATTTAGACTTTACTAACACTGGTATGTGTATTGGTAGGTAGAGCAGCAAAGGGAACAGTATTTAATTATCACTACTAAATCAACATCTTTCCCATAACAAGACCACTATCTCTGACACCCAGACTATAGACCTACCTGTATCTGCACCCATCCTCTCTCCTCTCCTTCCTTTGTCTACATGTGATCTAGGGCTCACCTCCTCTTCCTTTCTCAGGTACTTCACTCTACCACATCAGCTAGCGCTCCCCACATTATATGGTACTGGTAACAACATTTTGGTAAAGAAAAAAAAACCTCTCTTAATAGTAAATTATCTTCAAATCACAGATAAACTTCTTGAGTTGCTGATCTCCCATTCACACCAACTCACTCTATCCTGGCTTTTGCCCTTATCATTTCATAAAGTAATTCGTACTTTTATACCTGACCAGAAATGGCAAATGTTGGAGAAGTCACAGATTATTCCTAGAATTTGGATGTGAGTAACTGGGGAATGATGTTATTCAACAAAATAGTAAATACATGAGAGTTCAGGGTTAGAACCCATGAGTTCAAAGTCACCAATGATTTCCTCATTGCCAAACTTTCCTCTCTTATCCCAAGCCATCACTATTCTTCCTAATTATATGTAATCCAGTTGTCAAATATTTCCACATGCAGCCTATTCTCGCCCTGTGCCAACTTTGACTCAGGTCACACCATATCTTCCCATTCTCTGGGAATAATTCACTTACACCAAAGAAATCTAGATTTTATGTAATTTCACAGGAAAAACAGAGAAGATCTATAACACTATCATATCTTTTCTTTTTTTTTGGTCTGGTCGGAATCTCACTCTTTCACCCAGGCTGAAGTGCAGTGGCATGCTCATGGTCACCAAAGCCTCGACCTGCTAATGATCCTTCCGCCTCAGTCTTCCAAGTAGCTGGAACTACAGGCGCACACCACAATGCCAGGCTAATTTTTTGGTTTATTGTAGAGACAAGGTCTCACCAACATGCCCAGGCTGGTCTTGAACCCCTGAGCTCAGGCAATCCTCTTGCCTCTGCCTCTCCAAGTGCTGGGATTACAGGCATGAGCCACCACACCCAGCCTATAACACATATCTCAAGGTCAACTCTTTAAATCTCCTTTAACACTTATTTACCTAGCTATCCTATATTGTTAATCACCTGGACCATCTCTCTGTTCCCCTCACCTCCCAAAGCTTTAAGCCTCCATGGTTCTTCTCTGCCCAGACCCTATTTAAGTCTTGCTCCCAATTCTCACATAAAGAAATTTAACCCTCTTCTAACTTCTGCTTGTCGCTTTTTTGGTTGCCTCCATCTACTCCCAGACCCAACTCCCCAACCAGAGATTCCAAATCCAGGACCCAGTCTCATATCAGCTGCTCAGGACTCCTATATCTGCTGTTAAATCATCCAGTATTACTAAACATGTGAACAGCATATGGAACTTTCTCTGTTTTTTCCAGTCATCACAAGGAAGTTAAAATGCAGCTCTATACAAGGGGAGCCCCCCAAAAATCCAGAATTTGTTTATCTAAAAATTATGTATTTATTCTTGCATGTTTAAACTTCAGTCACCTTCAGAGTACTCTTGGTTTTTTGTTTTTTGGGTTTTTTTGAGTTGGAGTCTCACTCTGTCACAACCACTGCAACCTCGGCCTGTTGTGCTCAGGTGATCCTTCCACTTCAGTCTTTGGGTGGTAGCTGAAACTCCAGGCATGTGCCAACATGCCCAGCTAAATTTTTTGATTTATTGTAGAGCTAAGATCTTACCATGTTACCCAGGCTGGTCTCAAATCTGAGGGCTCAAGCAATCCTCCTGCTTCCACCTC